GATGTTTCAGTTCAACAGGCAAATTTTGTTATTGCTTTGAAGTGAACCCAAATTAAGTTTGAACTTATGCTTCTAATAGATCATTTCCAGTGGTCTTAATGATCTTTGAAATTTTCCAGTGCTGTTAGAAACATAACAGAATATATGCTCAGCAAGTCAACATTGTCATTTCCACGTTATTTCTGTATTGTAGTAAAGGAAGGCCTTGCAAAAATTTCAGTAGCGGTCTATCCATTACATTACCTGGTATTTTTGTTTTAGCGTTCCAATAAATCATGTAGCTCCATGTCCCTGAAATGGATGTTATCATTAACTTATTCCAAAGTCAGATGAGCTTACAGAGAAAGACTGTTTGAAACACCCTCATAATTTAAAGATTTTTCTCAATAATAACAGCAGCTAGCATTTACGGAGTGCCTACTATGTGCTAACGTTTTCCATGTGTTGCCTCATTTGAGCCTTACTGCAACTGTGGGACTCAGATGCTGTTATTATCCCCACTTCATAGAAAAAGAAACTGGGCTGAGAAATGTTTTTGACTTGCCCAGAGCCACACTAATAAGTGTTTGAGGCAAGATTTGAACTCGGGTCTTCCCAACTCCCAAGTCCAGGACCTAATTCACCGTGCCACCTACCTGTCTCTAGGAGCTACTTTGTACTTGCTAATTAACTAGAACCTAAAGAGATAGTTGCCCTGATAATAAATTTTTATTTAAAATTTGATTCTGTGTGGTATAGTAGAAAAAACTCTTAGATTTCTTGTTGGGGTATCTGGATTTGAATCCCAGCTTTGCTTTTTGCACTGTCTGAGGGAATTTGGCCAAGTCATCTTCTCTGGGCCTCAGTTTCCTCATCTGTGAAATGAGAGAACTGAACTAAATGGCTTTAGTTCTAAATCCTTTGACACTTGTATAAATCAATGTCTACCCAGTAACTCATAAAATTTTGCTTATTGGGTTTCCCCAGGAACCTTTTCTTTTATTTTATTTAAAGTGTGTATGTGTTTTATGAACAGATGAATAGAATCCATGGTTTTTAGGCTACAGGTGCTGGGATGTGCTTATACAAAAGCAAATCAATGAAGAAAGATTTAAAACTTATCAATAGTGACTGACTCAGTGAGATCAGGCACCACTTATTCTTCCAAAATATTGAATTTCTGGGGCAGCTAGGTTGCACAGTGGCTAGAGCACCGGCCCTGAAGTCAGGAGGACCTGAGTTCAAATCCGGCCTCAGACCAAACACTTGACACTTACTAGCTGTGTGACCCTGGGCAAGTCACTTAACCCCAGTTGCCTAAAAAGCAAAATAATAATAATAATACAAAATATTGAATTTCAATGTAATGCCTGCGGTCAGTTTATTTTATTGGACAGCAAAGTGTCTTTTAGAAAGTTCACTTCGTGGTTTGCTCACTTGACTGAAGGAACTATTTCTGATGGGAGAACAACTGGATGCCTAATATTCTGAAGAGTAAATCTGAACATTTGTTAGGATTTATTATCATCAGATTTATTGTTTGTGAAATATCTAATTCTACTCAATCAAAATTTTTCCAAAGTTAAAAGTTAAGAAGTAAAATGTAAGAGTTAAGAAATATGTTTGAGGGGCAGCTAGGTGGCGCAGTGGATAGAGCACAGGCCCTGAAGTCAGAAGGACCTAAGTTCAAATCCGGCCTCAGACCAAACACTTGTTACTTACTAGCTGTGTGACCCTGGCCAAGTCACTTAACCCCAATTGCCTAAAAAACAAACAAAAATAAAATAAAATAAAAAAAAGAAATATGTTTGAGATCATAAAAATAATAATTATCATGTGTTGAAGTCAGAAGTGGTTCTGACAAATGTGAAAATAAAAATTTCAGTGTTATCATTTAGTTGAAAGAGCATTAGCTAAGAGTCAGGAGCTCTAGGTCTCACTGGCTGAGAGTCAAGTCCTAGCTCTGCTAATCCCTGGTTCTTTGACCATAGAAAAGTCTCTTTACTCCTAGGAGACTCAATTTCTTAATCTGCAAAATGAGGGAATGGGACTAAATGATCTCTAATACGTCCCTTGCAACTTGAAATCTAAATGTTCTCCAAGGCTCCTGGAAGCTTTAAAATCCCATTCATGTGTGAAACATAACTTTGTGATAAATCATGGTTAAAAACAAAAGAAATGAAACTCAGTTTGTGTCTGAATCACTGAGGTAGCAGCATAAATGTAGGTTGAATCGACTCCAGCCCTGTCCCTCTCCAGATAAAATGATTGCTCACATTGATGTAACATGTAAGAGAGTCTGCAAAATGTTTTCCCCACAATCTAACAGTAAGGTAGATTCTGTAAGGAAGAAACGGGGGAGATTGGTGAGCAAGTAAGTATAGCATTTAGATAGCTCTAATTGTCTGAGGTGTTATTACATTGAGCCTACTTTGCCTCTTTATCCATCACTTTCAGTTCTGCTCTGGGGGCCAACCGAACAGAACAAGTTTGATCCCTCTTTCATGCACAGCTCTTAAACTGCTTAAAGATAACTGTCCCATCTCCCCCTAATCTGCTCTTGTCCAGGCTAAACACCTTCCACCAGTCCTTCAATGGCACCGACTCAAAGTCCTTCACCCTTCTGGTTGTCCTCTCCAGATTGTCAATGTTCTCTGTGAAATGGGGTACCCAGATTTGGTCTGACCTGTACAGAGAATAATCTGATTTGATAGCAATATTGCTTTTCCTTGGCTGCTAATTTGGGGCGTTTTATAGGAAATGAGGGATTTTTGACCAGCAGGACAGTTTAGATTTGCTTTTCACCAGCTCTGATGTTCCAATGTTTGGAAAGACAATGGACCAAATTTGTGACAGGTCTGGGAATTGACTCTCACAATAGTTCATGAAGTTATCTGACTCTAAGTTTTTTCATCTATGAACCAGGGCCAGAATCGTTTGTAAAATTATTTGGCACATTGAGAAAGCATTTCTACCAGTTTGATGCCATACATTTATAATTTATACCTTTTTCCCTTCCCAAGGCAGAACTAGAAACAGGCATATGATATTGTCTATAGGACATGTCACTCAGTGTTCCAGCTTTTCTCCCAAAGTATCTTTTCCATTTCATGAAAATAAAAATGACACCATATGTTCACACACACCTCTTCCCCACTGTTTGAGTCATTTTAAGGAGAACCGATTCCCAGAGCAGGGGTGTCCTTGAAGACAGTATCATAGCAGTGATAGGAACGTTAAAGATTAGGATAAATGCTTTGGAGGTCACTAGTTTGCATGTTTCTTAGTGTGCGCAGAAGACTGAGGTAATTTCAGTGGATCCAAGCAAAAGTTTCTGTAAGTAGCCTGATCAAATGAATAGAAATGGGAATAGGGGAAGTAGGAAGCTAAGAGATATTCAACATGGTGGCCTTGTGGCACTTTGTGCAGAAAAGAGTAGAAGGGTAGCATCTTGATAGGGCTGTGAAATGGCTAATATTAGCTGTATTTTTTAAAGGTATGATCTAGTATACATACTCCATCAAATATGGATTCCCCTTTTGGAAAGTTTTGTATTTTTCGAATAAATAAAAAAATATGACTCAAAAGAAGGCTTCTCTCTTTTCATCTGTAAGCTGGATTTTGATGGCCATTCTCATTTCATTCTCTAATCATTGATGATTTTGAAGTCAAATTGTCTCTTTAATTTCTGATTGGGCAATGTAAGTGCTTAATATTAAGAATTAATTATCCTGGCACAGCTAGGTGGCACAGTGAATAGAGCACCAGCCCTCGAGTCAGGAGGACCTGAGTTCAAATCCAGCCTCAGACACTTGCTACTTACTAGCTGTGATACTTAACTAGGCAAGCCACTTAATCCCAATTGCCTCACCAAAAAAAAAAAAAAAAATAGAAAAGAAAAAAGAATTAATTTACCTCCTTTATTTCCCTCAAAAGAGAGAGAGTCAAGTGAGTATTTAAATGTTCTAGTCTTGCATTCACATATTCCTATGTATGGCCATATTCCTAGTACCACAATCATCATTTTCTTATTATACCAAAAAAAACCAGCTACTGCAGCACCCCCAAGTTCCTGGGAACACCTAGCCATGGAATGCTAATAAACTGTTGGCCTTACTGAGACATATCTGTTAAGTTCTTCATATCAGCAAGCTGGGTGGGGGGACATGGGACACATAGTTGGGCTTCTCTTATTAGAGATGTGTTGTTATTTTCTGTGACCCCAAATCATTATTGATGAAGCCAAATGAATTGACACTAAGTGTCCTGATTGCAGTTGGTGATCGGTCTTAGATCAACTGTTGGCCATTGGTCATTGGTTAATTCCTTCTTGAAACAGTGGAAAGTGCCAACTTTAGTCTTTGAATAGAGACAAATTAGAAGTTCTCCAGCCGGTTATGAAGCCAATTACATTGAAATTTCAGTTTAACTCGTTTCCTTTTCATCCTGTTCACATTTTTAAAGTCCTTTTTAGTTCTTCTGGGCCGAAAACCTTCTAATGGCCCTTGATGGCTTCATGAGATTGCTCTGAAAAGCGTTTGATATGTTGTAGTAAAACCACGAATGCCAGGTAAGGGTTGAGTGCCTCTCAGACTCTTTACCTTCTTTTATAGTGGTACGTTGTGCTTTCATTGGGAAGTATCCTCGGAACCCACTCATAAAACTGCCACCTGCATAGATAAATGCTGGTAAATATGTTTTGGAAAGAAAGAAGTAAAAACTGTAAATTCTTTTCATTTAACAAGCTTGTATTCTGTGACAAGGATTCTTAACCATTTTGGTCATTGACTCCTTGGCAGTCTGGTGAAGCCAAAGGGCTGATGATTTAAATGCATAAAATAAATATGTAGGATTACAAAGGAAAGCAATTATGGGGAAATGCGGCTATTGGACTTTTTTTTAAAGTCATAAACCCCAGGTTATAAATCCCTAGTCTATAGTTATCAGCAATAATGCCCAGGGATTCCAAAGCAGCTGTTAACTGTTATGATCCAAACAATCACCTCTGATTTCTCTTCCAGGGCCAGCCCCTAGACCAGGCTGCCATTTTTCCTCCACAAGTGCGACCATCATCCCAGCTTCCTCAGTATTCAGGGTTGCAACAGGCACAGGTACCTACATTCCTTAATTCTTTAGACATCACTGATTATTTTGTTTTCCATAGGGGGGTGTTGCTTATTTAACTTAGAAAGCTGAGATTATACTTAGACTATAGAGCAAGCGTTCAGTTTTTATTGCCCTGAGCTATGCAGAATATTTATATTCGACCAGTCTTTTCCCTAGGGGGCCCTGAAATTGATCTCACCTATAGAGGACATTGGTAAGAATTTCCAAGAGTGACAAGGTGCAAGATAGGACAGTGAATTTGAAGGAGTAGCCAGTCAGAAGCCATCGGTGTAGATCTTGCCTCTGCTATTTACTACCCATGTGACCTTGGCTAGGTTATTTTCACATCTGTAGCTTGGGTTTCTTCATCTGCAGAATGAAAGGCTTAGACCAAGGTCCTTTTTGGATCTACAACAAGATATACAGGCCCTCAGTTGTCTAAAATTAGAGCTAAAGGGGACTGTAAATGTGATTTTGTTCTTGCCTCTTAACTGAATTTCAGAGAGCCTTGCTAAGGTTCCCAAAGCTAGTAATGACATAATTGGATCTCAAACCCAGGTCCTCTCACACCAAATCTATTACATTTTCTACCGTACTGATTGTAATCAGTTTTGATAATGTCTAAGATGCATATTTACTAAATGAAATCAGTAATCAGTGCCCTTCCTAATTAAACCTCCATTAGATCTATGATTCATTAAATGCAGAAAGGTTAAAATGCTTGTCTAAGGTCAATACATAACGTCAGACAGCACCTGGCCCCACCTTATTTATCCAACTTTATTTTTCATGGTTTCTCCTACCCAACCAATCTAGTCCAATCATTATCCCTTTCCATCCTACCTACCACTACGGCCTTTTTTCCCCCTTTCATGCCTTTACTCATGATATGCTTCTGCTTAAAATATTCCTCCAATTAATTGATGATGAAGCATGCTACCCACATCTTGACAGAGCGATGATGGACCCAGGATGCAGAGTAATACATATGATCATAGCCAATGCAGGAACTGGTTTTGTTCAAGTATACATATATATTTGCTAGTAGGTTTTTTTTTTCTTTTTGTTTTTTTTGGGGGGGGGAGGAAAAGGGGAGGTAGGGAGGAGGGACAGAAGGAAAGAAGTAGGGGCAGCTAGGTGGCATAGTGGATAGAGCACTGGCCCTGAAGTCAGGGCCTTCAAATCTGGCCTCAGACCAAACACTAGACACTTACTAGCTGTGTGACCCTGGGCAAGTCACTTAATCCCAATTGCCTTTAAAGAAAAAAAAGAAGGAAAGAGGTAAGGAGTGAAGGAGGGAGAGAAAAAGGGAAAGAAGGAAGGAAAGAAGAAAAGAAGGGAGGAAAGAAAACCCCCCAGCTACATGTTGAATTTATTATATAAAGCAAGATATACAAAAAGAGATTCCTAGCTTTTTGTGCAGGCCTGATTAGAAGGTTCATTTTATTTGATGTTAGGTTTATGCTAAAAATTGTTTAGAAAATAATCTTTTTCATAAGTCTAGTTCCATTACCTCCTTTCCATTTTACCTCTTCTTTCAAAAAATTTTCCTTGACTAATTTATTTTACTCTGATCACTTCCCTGTTCTGTTGCCTCATTCATTTTTTCATTCATTCATCATATGTGATACAATAGAAAGAATATTTTAATTTGGAGTCTAAAGACCTGGGCACAAATTCTGACTTGGCCACTAACGACCTCCTTTCAACAAGTCACTTAATCTCTCTCAGTCTCAGTTTTCTCATCTTTAAAATGGAACTATGATCTCATGTCTCCTCTTGTTCTAAAAAAAAAAAATCCTATCATTTTAAACATTAATTGAGCCCCTTCTGTGTTCAAGGTGCCATATTAGACAGTCAGAGGGATACAGAGATTAGAGATTAATGGCACACATCTTTTCCCCACAGAGATCTCTTGTTGTAGAAAGGGAAGTGAGGCACATAGATTATCTATAATTCAATAGTTATAATATTCAATAATTCAATAATAATTAAATAATATTAATTGAAAAATACTAATATTGAATAATAATTCAATAATAGTATGTGATCAGTCCTATTAGAACTAAGAGCAAAAAGTGATTATTTCCAGCTGGTGGGGTGGAAGCAGTGGAATCAGAAAAGGCATTTAATTTGGGTCTTAAAGGATAGTTAGATTTCAACCAGAGAGGGTAAGGGGTTGGGACAGAAATCTCCTGCCACATTAGGAGAAGCTGAGTAGTCCACTTGGGCCAGAGTATAAGGTATGGGAGTAAGAGACAAATGAGAAAAGACTGAAAAAAAAGGAGTTTAGAAGCAGATTATTCAGGGCCTTAAATGCATCAACATATAATCGACGTTGCATAAAGGTACAGCAGAAAGGGGCTTGGGTCTGGGTTCAGATCCCACCTCTCTCACTATCTGTATGTTCTTGGACAAGTTACTTAGGCCTCTGGGCCTCAGTTTCCTCATTTGTTAATTAGAGGCAACTAGGTGACATAGTAAATAGAGCACTGGACCTGAAGTCAGAAGTAAGTCCTGAATTCCAATCTGGCCCCAGATGCTTACTAGCCATGATGTGACCCTGAGCAAATAACTTGACCTCTATCTTCCTCAGTTTCCTTATCTGTAAAATGAGGATGATAATGGCACCTACCTCCCCGGGTTGTTGTGAGGATCAGATGAGATAATGTATGTAAAGCGCGTTGCATATCCTAAAGTTCTGTGCACGTGCTAACTTATTATTAGAATGAGAGGGTTAGACTAGGTGGTCTCTGAGATCTGATCTCCCAGATCTGGACTTATGGTCCCGTGTTTTTCTTCCTATATTTATATTTCTCCCTATATTTTCCTGAAACTAAAACTGGGGTTGTCCTTTTACCGCGGGGGATTATTTTCCTTACAGGCTGTGCCCCACGGATATACCATGTACAGTTCTCAGATGCCTCTCCAGCCGCAGCAGGCCAGCGGCGTGGTCCTGTCCCCCGGCTACAACCCGAGAACGTACCCAGCCGCACATTCCAATCCAGCTCTGATGGAGAGGCTTCGGCAGATGCAGCAGCAGCCCCCACCAAGCGGGTATATTCAGCAGCAGGCTGCCGCTGCCGCCTACCTTCAGCCTCTGCCAGGATCTCAGAGGTGAGGCTTAGGTCGCCACACTGATGAAGAGGACGGCTGCTTACGTCATGTGGCTTTTCACTCGGTCCAGCAATTTATACCTGTTGTCTCGTATGGAGGGACCTTAGAAACTATTTAGTCCTAGACAGAGTCTTTGGACGTGATTCTTTGGAGCTTCCAAGTTCCTCATCTGCCCCTTCCCAGGTCTGTGACCAACTGTAGAGGTCACCAGCGGACGTTTCAGTGCCTGCTCTCTGCTCTGCACCATGTCGTCTCTGCAAACACAAAAACAAAAACCGCCAAGGAACCTACATTCTCTGGGGCTAGCCAGTACTTGTACAGTTAGAAAAGTATAAAGTAATATGAGAAAGTCCCCAGAAAAGTCAGTCAGTTTCCTCATTCTGTACAATGGGTGATGATATACTGTCTATCTCACTAGTTGTGAAAAAATACTTTTCTAACTTTGAGGTACCGTATAAATAGGATTGTATTTTTACATCATAATGGTTAGTTATAGATTAGGAAACTGACACCCCCTCCTCAGAATAAGTAGTTTTTTTTTTTAGTTGACGTCTCTCGTCTTGATTTATAGCTTTTAAGGCAAAGCAACAACATTTATTATGTAATTGCTGTATACTAGGCACTGTGCTATTATACTGGGGATCTAAAGACAATTAAAAAGAAAGGCAGTCCCTGCCTTAAGGAATTTACATTCTTTCAAACTTAATTTAAAATGAACATAACTTATCTAGCCCAAAGTAGGGTATAGAATTGGTAGTAGTGGTGGTGTTAGAGGTGCTTGAAGTGTAAAACATGGCTAACTTAGTCCATAGTGGTCTTGCTTTTGATGAAGTACTAGCTGATAGTGGAGGATTATTATTGACTTGGGAAGCAGTGCCCCATTATGTTATAGCTTGTTGGGAGATACAAGGCCATGAGTTTGAGTAAGACTGTGGTAGTGTTTGTGATCATGGTACCTTATCAATTTGTGATTGCTTTGACCTAGGAGCCCCCATCTGAGATTTTCTTTTTCATTGAAGCGGTATTGCGAGGTCTTTACATTACTTCCATTAATAAAACCCCTTGGACAATGTCCAAAGTTAGATCTTCCTTGTGAAGAATTTCCCACCTATAATGGGTAGTATTAAAAACTCCACTGTTTTGATCAATTGTTTATGATCAAGTACTTCATAAAGTGGCTTCTAACAGAGTATGAACATTTCAAAGATTTTTTTTAAATAAGCCATGCTTACAGAATTATTAGTTGGCAGATAAAAAAAATTATTCATTTGAAAAATAATAATTTGATTTTTCAAGGATCTATTTCTTGAGCTCTGAACTTTCATTTCACAAGCTGCTTAGTGGAAGAAATTATGTAGTTATTCTAAGTGCAAAATACAACACTTGCTGTATTGATTAGATTTAATTATAAAGCCTTATTTTTTTCAGAGTAAGGGATCTTCATCTTGAGAACACAGACCAGATTCCTCAGTTCTATAAAATTGTCTCTTTTTTTATTTTAATAAGTGTATTTTAATATAATTGCTTTCTATTGTAATCCTATAATATTTTAATTAACATTATAATAATGTAAAAATACATTATTATTACTAAGTCCTGTATTTTATTTTGAGTTTTTTTCTGTATTTTATTTTGTACATTTAAAAACATTATTCTCAGAAGAAGAGACAGGTCCATAGACTTCCCAAGGCTGCCGGTGGGGTCCATGACACAAAAAAAGGTTAACTCCCTTCCTCCCATTTCCCCATGTTACAACAGTCACCTTATAGTTATGACTTCACTTGAATCTGTTAGTAAAATCATGGGATATTCCTATTGTAACACCAGATGTTTTCATCTAATACATTTGAAATCCTGAGGATTCAGAGCTATTTGTGTTTGAAGAAGAAGGGATGTCAAATTTGTTTTCACTTTCCAGACTGACCCATCAACCTTTACAACAAAGTCCTTTGGTTGGCGGGGGACTGGATGCCGTACTGACCACTACGCCCCACCCAAACCTCAATTCTGTGCCGTTGCCTCAGGACCAGATGAGACAGAGACAGCAGCAAATCAGACAACAGAGGCTCCTTCAGGTGGGGGATCATGCGATAAGCGAAACAGATAGTCAGTACACAATCCTGCTGCTGTTAATGCTGTTGCTATATACAAAGTAACAAGCTTCTAGGAATGTTTGTATCTCTGCAACACAGTGTAGTTACAACTGAGTTAAGAGTAACTCTTTCTTCCTGTGCTGTTGCCTATCAATAATAATAATAACTGATATTTATATAGTGCTTTAAGATTTGCAAAGCACTTCACATGTGCTACCTCATTTGAATCTCACAACCACCCTGGGAGGTAGGTGCCATTATTATCCCCATTTTATAGATGGGGGAACTGAGACTGAGAGATTAAGTGATTTGCCTACAGACATATAGCTAAAAAATTAGTGTCTAAGGGAGTATTTGAACTCAGCTCTCCCTGACTCCAAGTCTAGCACTCTATTTATTATCCTACCTAGCTGCCTTTTATGTAAAAATTAAGGAAAGGATAGATTTTTTTCCAGGGTATGCCTCATAGTGACTCTACTGTCTTGAGGAATTAGGGGTATGTGTAAAGGGTGCCACCAAGGTCTTATCCTCAGCTGGGCACATTTCTAAAAAAAAAAAACCAAAACCTAATTATTAGCTTTCCAGGGCCAATCTGGAGAATTGTTTCACATTAAATACTTCATTTTCAACGGTGCTGATACCTAAACCAGGAAAAGCGAGAACAGAGAAAGAAAATTACAGACCAATTTCCAAAAAAAATTTGGGCTTGATGACCTTTGGAGTCCCTTACAGTTCTAGATTTATGATTGTATGACCTTGATTTATCAACCAGGATGCCAGATTATTCATTTTAAATGGGGAGGTGGGAGGGCAAATTATAAACAGGGTACTGGAGTCCTCATGTGTGTCATACCCCATTCTCATATCAAAATATCCAGGAAATTGAATTTGTAATGAAAAAAAAAAGTGTATCATGGTCATTAAATCAGAACAAGAAAGTTGCACGTTCAGACTTTAGGGAGAAAATAGAAATCCATCAGTTTGGCAATCCAGCCTTCTGCTTGTCCAGGCTTCTTAGGGAACACCCCTTCACGAGCTCTCTGTTTACGTCAGACTGGCCTTCGTTCATCCCTTCTGTCTCCATGACTTTGTACAGACTGTCTACCGGGGCTGGAATTCACTTCCTCCTTACCTCCAGCACTGAGCATCCTTAGCTTTCTTCCATCCTTAGCTTAGGTACCATCTCCTATAGGATGTCTTTCTTGATCCCTGATTGCTTGTCTGTAAATATCTCTACAGTATTCCTGCAAGAATTACAGGCATTGTTTCTGTGCCACTAGATAATAATAGTGTATACCCACCTAGGGTCATTTTGTTTGCCTGATATTGAGTCTTTTTCATCAGATACACATTGAAAGATTCTAATTTTCCGATTCTTATTTGTTTTTGTTTTTTGAGGTACCATGTTGACCATTACCTCTTTGTTATCACAAAATTTCTTCAGGATAAGCTTGCTACAATAAAAGAAATTTCAGTTTATCTTATTAATTACACTTAAATTGGAGCCTCCTTGGTGGACTTTTGGAAACACTGATCATTTGTTGAAATTTGGGCAGGAAAAAAAAGCTGGTAGTCTAAGCAATTTATTGATAAATCTTGTAAGTACTTTAGCTGCTGAATCTTATTTACTTTATTTTTAAGGGTTTTTCTTAAAATAAAATTTTAATAGCTTTTTTTGTTTGTTTTTATCATTTAAATTTCCTTCTGTAATCTAATCCCTTCCCCTCATCCCTCACAGAGAGCTGCCTCTTATAACCAATAAATTTTAAAAGAAAAAGAAAGAAGAAAAAAAACTCAGCAATCAATACATTTTTAAAAATCTGACATATGTGTCCTATGCCTTTGGACTCCTGCAAAGGACTCCTCTCTTTCTCCCTTCTCCCTTCTGCAGAGGAATGGGGGAAGTTTCTTCTCATATTTCTTCTTTGGAATCAAGCTTGTACTTGGTAATCTTGCAATATTTATTTTATTTTATCATTTTGTAGTTATTGGTCTTTCCGTTTACATTGTTGTAGTAGTGTTGGGTATGTTATTTTTTTGGTTCTTCACACTTCCCTTTGCATCTGTTTACCTAAGCTTTTCCATGCTTCTCTATATTCATCATATCCATTATTTTTGTATAGCACAGTAATATTCCATTTCATTCATGTACCACAGTTTGTTTAGCCATTCCCCAACCAATAAGAATCTAATTTGTTTTTTAGTATATTCATTATATGTTGGTGTTTATTAATTTCAGTTTCAGAGGGTGACTTTTTTTTAGACCTTCTCCCCTAAATCTTAGAGTATGTTTTTTGGAGATTTGCAATCCTTTTTACACTGACTACACTATGCACAACATATTAATTCTTATTACAGCAACAATAGGTCAGGAAACTAATCTAGGGACTCTGTTGGATTGGTCAAGGTTGGGTGTCCTCCTAAGGTCCATTGCCATTGGCAGTGTCACCATTGAGGGCAGTCTGGATCTAGGCCATCTTAGATCTTTATGTCTTAAGTGTTATTTCCCCTCCTTTTCTGGGAGCTTGGGTCACTTTATAGGCAAGTTTTAAATAACTTCAAAGTCTTCACAATAGAATATATCATCCGCATTGTGGAGGGAGGGGTGGTATGAAATCTACCAGTCAACCCAAAAGTATTTAAGCCTTAGAATGACTGTCTTGGGATTAGCCATGGGAGTGAGTCCTTTGGGGAAACAATGAAACATCTCAACCCTTTCCCTTGTCCTCACCCCTAATATCAGGACTCAGACAGCTCTTCCATGGGTCTCAGTTCCTTATTAGGCTAAGCCTTTCCTGAACTAGACACTAGGCAGGAAACTAAGAGGACAAGGAAATTGTAGGGGAGGACGGGGCAGAACAGAAGAAGAGTGAGAGAAGACTAAAAAAAGAGACCTTTGATGTCAGGTTTAAGTCAAGAGGTTTATAGAGTGAGCCCTGGATTTGAAGTCAGGGTATTTGGTTTCCAGTTCTCACCCTAGCTGTTTGACCAAAGGCAAATCACCTCACTACTCTGAGGCCGTTTTCACAATAATGGCACCACTCATCTCATAAGGTATTTGAGAAAAAAGACATTTTAATGACGGTATCCAAGAATTGGGGAGTGATGGGTGGGATTCACAGAGAGAGATTTCAGCTTGATTCACTGCAGAATTTCCTGTTAATCATCAATATCCAAAGGGAGAATGGGTTGACTCGGGGGGAATGGGTTCCTCTCCCTACTGAATACCTTACTTTTAAAAAAGAAAGAAATTTGTGAACCAAGAAGTCTTCATGGATTGGTGGGTCCCTGAGCTGAGCTTTGAAGAATCGGTAGGATTTCACTGAGAAGTTAGGGGAGGGAATAAACTCTGTTGTGTTGAGTCAGAGAAACTAACCAGTCACTTTATAGGCTTTATACTGAATTTAAGGATGGCAAGTCTTTGTGAGGTATTTAGATGTTGATCAGTTTTTTCTTCAGTTACAGCAGCAACAGCAGCAGCAGCAACAGCAGCAGCCCCAACAGCAGCAGCAGCAGCAGCCCCAGCAGCAGCAGCAGCAGCAACCGCAGTCACAGCCGCAGCAGCAGCAGCAGCAGCAGCAGCAACCGCAGCCTCAGGGTCAGCAGGCACTGGGACTCCAAGCAATGCAGCCACAGCAACCTTTGGTAAGAAGATTTGTTGAAGAACATGGATGTGTTTAGGGTGGGGGGCTTTTACACGTTCATGTGACATATAAAAGGCACCGTTAGGTACATGGACTTTAGGAGTAATATTGTTGTAGAACTATACTGCAGCCCTCCTAGACAAAAGGAGGAAAGAGATGAGAAGTCTATTTGGAAAGGTCAAAAGTCTGGCATAGAAGACATGGAGGTTTCACTTATCTAGATATCTTCTGCAACTTAACCTTCCCTCCTGCTCCCTTCTTCCCCCTTCCTCTCCTTTCTCCCTCCCCTTCTTTCACTCTTCCCATCTCTTCTCCCCTTCCTTCTTTCTTGTACTTTTCCCTCCCTTTTTCTTTCCTCCCTTCTTTTTTCTTCTCCCTTTCTCTTCTTTCCCCCCTCCCTTTTGTCTCTTCCTTTCCATTCTCTCCCTCTTTCTCCTCTCTTCTACTTTCCCTTCCCTTCTTCTCTTTTCCTCTTTCCCTCTTTCTTTTCACTGTCGTCCCTTTCTCTTCTATCCTTTATCCCTGTCCTCTTTTTCTCTCCCTCTTTTCTTTCTTTCTCCCTTTCTTTCCTGTCCCCCTTTCTTTCCTCTCCCATTCCCTCTTCCTCCCTCACTTTTTTTATGACTCATAAAATATTGGCTTGCTTTAATGGCAATTTAGCACTTCAAGAAGTTAAAGAAAACAGGAAAAGGTGGTGCTATTTCTGAATCTGATTCAGACCAAGAAGTAATGCATTGAAAGACATTTGGAACCCTGGGAAAGAAGTGACCATTCCACCTTAGATTTTGTGATAATAAAAGAGAGGAAAGCTGGAAGAAATCTGATATGTACCCTAAATTTTTAGAGAGGCGTATTTGGAAATTGAGAGCACATATGAACAAAATATGTAATAAAAATGTTTTTTAAAAATTAAAGTAAATAAGTATTGTTCAATAATAATGCAAGCAATATGTGACTAGGTACCAAATTAATGCTACAGGTAATAAGTGCTCTAGGACAGAGGTATCAAACATGCCCATGCAAGTGCCAGGAACCAAATTAAAATGTAATTGAGAAACGTGTAACAAAATAAACAAAAATATGTAAGAACACAGATAATGTTAATATGTGATTTTCTATATCAAAATGCTGCCAACGAATGGTTTAGTGGCCCCATTTCTATTTGGATTTGACACAACTGCTCTGGGATGTCAGGAATTGTGAACCATAGCAATGGAGTAGAAAAAGAAATGGATTTGAAGTCAGAAGACTTGGGTTGGAATCCCAGCTCTACTGTTTATCTATGTTGGTTTGGATAATACTTAACTTCTCTGGAGCTCAATATCTTCATCTGTAAAAAAGAGAAGAGGTTGAACTACTTTCTTAATCTGAAATCCTCTAAACTTTTGATAGAAAGATGGATGGATAAATAGATAGAGGGATGAATAACAATAGTGGGTGGGTGGGTAGACAGATAAGGATGATGCATAGATATATAGATATGACAGATATCATACATACATACATACCTGACAGATGATGATGATGAATGGGTAGAGGGATAGGTAGATGGATAGAGTCATCTGAATATAACTGGTTTCTTTTCTTATTTTTTTTTCCTTTTGTACATTTAAAAACATAATTCTGAGAAGGGATCCATAGATTTTATCAGGCTACCCAAGGGGTCCGTGACACAAAAAAGGTTCAAAACTATTGGCATAGATGACCTCCAAGGTCCTATACTGATCCATATCCTAAAATGCTAGTAGGCTTCCTTAAGGAGGTGAATGAGAAGGATATGGAAAATTGGAACTGTCTCTGCCCTGTTGCTTATGAGGGGAGAACTAAGTTCAAAGCCCTCCTCTAATCAACTCACAATTTCTTTGTCCTTCAGTTCCTTCTCCTCGGAAAGAGAAAGGAAGGGAATAAACATCTATTAAGAGCTTACTCCGTGCCAGGCCCTGTGCTAATTAATCACTTATTAATCACAAATATCTTCTCATTTCATCTCTAAAATGGAGATAATGATGCCTGCAGCACCTACCCTACAGTTTCAATGAGTCTCAAGTGAAATAATGAATGCAAAGTACTTTGTACCCTTTAAAACTCGGTATTAGTTATTAGTTAGTTAGTTAGTTACTGCTGCCAAGGTCTCAGCTTATGTTGAGATGCTGGTTCTGCAGATTGTCATTGGAACCACCGGGGACATCTGGAACCCTGCACAAATGTACTTCTTTTCCAACATGGGACTGGCCAGATAGAAAGGCAGACAGATAAAGTATCATTATACTAAGCTAGCCAAATGAACTTAAAAGGAAGCCCCTGCTTTGATAGCTGGTAGAAATGTAGTACCTTTCTACTGAAGGTAGACCAAGAAAACCCAAGTTTACATATTGGAGCTCGTGGTGACCACACATTAATGCCTTTTTTGTTATTTACTAACCTAAGTAGTTTGGATGCTATAAAAAAGCATCTGGAATTTAAGATCGAATTCTCTTTGCTCTTAAATAAGATTCTGGTGTCTGTGGTCTTTGGCTTCAGTTACCCTCTGGAATTGAAAGTGTATTTAAAACTTTAAAGTTTTTGGGTTAGCTGCTGACTCCATCTGTAAACAGAGAATGGACTTTCCTTAGAACTCCAGCCAGGATTTAAGAAAATCATGTTTATACCCTTCCTGCTGTGTTCTTTCTTTTCATCTTAAACCCATGCTGCCTTAGCTAGTAACCTGGGAAAACATGGCAAAAGACAGTTCAAAAACTGGGATTTTTCAAAAGACTAGTGATTAGAATTCCAGGTTTAATTATACAGGGTATCCAAGATTGCACTTGATCTGTTCAGATATTTGTATTTACCCCCATTTAAGATTTTTTTAATGAACGATGCATTAACCTTTAATCAGATACAAACATGTCACATACCAGAGTCTCACACTTTTCTTCAAGTGCTTTACAGATAATCGTCAACAGTCACATTTTTTAGAATTTCTAAGGGGGTGAGAAGAGGGTAGGCATTATCATCTTCCTTTTGGAAAGGAAAGAACTGAAAGCCTTGCTTTCTATTCTGCTCAAATTATTTGTTTCCGGTAGGCTTGTGGTGGGAGTTGGGGGGGAAAGGGATCAGCTAATAAAATCAGATGATTAGGTTTCCTGGAGCAAAAGGAAGAAATGATGCCCCTGCTATGTCATTTGAATAAAGGTTTCTTTTCCCCAATAAGAAAAGCAATTACATCCAGATCATCATAGAAATATAGTCTTTCTAGAATCTAGACCATCAATCCATTGGTTCTGAGGACTTGTCAGTTAGTCATTCTGGCTGAGCTGCCTTAGAGAAAGATTGAGTTCCTAGACCAGTGGAGACCTCCCTTTGTGCCTGCCTATAGACCTATGAGCAAACTGGTAACTCATGATAAAATTTAGCCTGCATTTTTAAAAATTTAATTTAATTTTTTTCAACTAACAAAAATAGATTCTTTTTCTCCCTACCATGCTATCCTCTGTGGAAAAGGAAAGAAAAAAAATCAGATCCCTTGTAATAGATATGTACAGTCTAGCAAATTCCCACATCGGCACTAGCCGAAAAAAGTAATCAATATGTAGAATGGGAGAAGTACAGTTTCACTGCTTTGCTTTGGTGATGGTGGAAGAAGGTGTGCCAAGCAGACAGATGCGTTTGAACCTCAGATCTTTGGAAGCACCTGCTTATAGAGGCACTGTCTTTCCCTGTTGTCTTTTCTCTTAAATCACTGCCTGGTGTAGCCTGGTAGCTTCAAGATGAATATGGGGACAACTGCCTTGATTCCGTTTTCCAGGAAGTTTTTCTTGATATGAATTTAAAATAAGCACAACAAAGATGGAGTCCTTTGTCTAAGTATTTCATAGAATTAAGGTTTTTTGAGACCAAAGCTACCTTAGTAATTCATCTATCCCAACCCCATCTTTTTAAAAAGGAAATCAAAGTCCACACCTGCCAAGCTGAGATTCCTTCCGCCCTACTGTGCACCTTCTATTAGAGGAATTAACTAGTAATAACTTCAGAACAGGCATAAGTAGGGAGCATTGGAGAAAATAGTGGAATCCTTGCTCTGTACCTATGCCGTTTATCATTCTTGGAAAATACCTTACTAGTGACAGAATTCAGTCATGGAATTGTTTTAGTTCTGATCTAACAATTGACTTATTATTGACTATAAGAGAGTGTAGCCCTAACGTCAAATGATCGTTTTTTTTTTAAACCTTTTTTTCAGGGAGATTCTAGACCTGTGATATAATTGGCATGAGGGAACTCCCTACATGGATATTCCTACCACTGGTGCAGGTTGACATTTCATCTGTAACTTGGGAGTCTAATTGAATTGTCTAAGGCCCTGAAATGAGTTGAATAACCCTCAACATGCCAGAGACAGGAGTAGATTTCAGGTCTTCCTCACTCTTAAGGTTAGCCCTTTGTTCTTCAAAGGCTTAGAAAAAAGTAACCAGCAAACGCTTACTGAGGATTGGTGTTTCCCTGGGGTAATCACTGGATCCTCCAGCCCCTTTGTTGGAGCTGAAAATATCTTGGAAGCTTAAAAAAAAACAACACTGTATTTTCCAAAAAATACAGAAGATCATCTAGTAAGAAAAGGAGTAAGAAATCATAGTAGGACTGGTGTTACCATCCTTCTGTATCTCCTTTGTGGGTTCATCACCCAAGTCCCACCTGCTAGTGTCTTAGGACCCTCTCCTCTTCTCTGTTTGCACTCTCTTAATGGTTTCATTAGCTTCCAGGGAACCATCTTTGTGCAGTTGACTCCCATATTTCTCTATCAAGGCCTCAGCTCTCTCTTGAACTCTAGTTCCATACCCCTGTAGCAGCTCCACCTGATTATCCTACATTCGTCTGAAACTCAACATGCCCCAAACAGAACTCATTGCTTTTTCACTCAACATAACCTTGCTTCTAATTTGACTTCTCCGTGTCTTGTTTTGTTTTTTTAATCAGGGATACCGCTGTTCTCTCAGTTACCTGGGTTTGCCACCTAGGAGTCTTCCTCAACTCTTAGCCCCATTCCCTGTGTTCAGTGAGTTGTCAAGTCTTGAGATTCCACCTTCTTTAGAATTCACCTGTTTCTGTTCACCTCACAACCCCCCTAATCTAGATGTTCATTATCTATTGCTCCAACGTCATTCTTCAGCTCAAGAAGCTCCATTGGTCTCCATTGCCTTTAGGAGAAAATACAAATGCTACTGTTGAATGTTTCAAGCCCTTCCTGAGCTGCCTCTAGTCTGTCTTTCCAGGCTAATTACTTATTATTTGCTACAGCCATGCTGGCCATGTTGTTATTTCTCCTTTGTGACATTCACTCTTCCACCTTTTCACCTTTGCATAGGTCAAAGCCCAGGCCTGAATCCTCCCCCTCTTCATGGCTGGCTCTTGGGACCTCTCACTCCCTTCGGGGTTCAGTTCAAATACTACTTCCTTCAAGAGATCTTTCTCAATTCCCCCAGTTTTTTTTATTAATTAATTTATTTTAGTTTTCATCATTCACTTCTATAAGATTTTGAGTTCTAAATTTTCTTCCCCTTCCTCACCTCCCCCCTCCCCAAAATGGTGTGCAATCTGATATAGGCTCTACATCTACGTTCATATTAAACATATTTTCACATTAGTGTCGTTGTAAAGAATTAGAACAAATGGGAGGAACTACAAGAAAGAATAAACAGTGACAACCAAAAAAAAAGAGAGAGAGAGAAAGCAAATGGTATGCTTCGATCTGCATTCAGATTGCATAGTTCTTTTTCTGGATGTGGATAGCATTTTCCATCACGAGGCCTTTGGAGATGTCTTAGATCCTGGTATTGCTGGGAAGGGTTAAGTTTATCAATGTTAGTCATCGCACAACATGGCTGTTACTGTGTACAGTGTTCTCTTGGTTCTGCTCACTTCACTCAGCATCACACCTTACAAGTCTTTCCAGATTTTTCTGAAGTCTACCTGTTCATCATTTCTTATAGCACAATAGTATTCCATTACATTCATATACCACAACCTGCTCAGCCATTACCCAATTGATGGGTATCCGCTCAATCTCCAATTCTTTGCCACCACAAAAAGAGCTGCTGTGAATATTTTTGTACATGTGAGGGTCCTTTTCCCATTTGTTTGATCTCTTTGAGATATAGCCCTAGAAGTACTGTTGCTGGATCAAAGAGTATAGCTCTTTGGGCATAGTTCCAAATTGCTCTCCAGAATGGTTGGATCAGTTCACAACTCCACCCACAGTGCATTAGTGTTCCAATTTTCCCACATCTTCTCCAACATTTATCATTTTCCTGTTTTGTCATGTTGACCAATCTAATAAGTGTGATGTGATAACCCCCCAGTTGTTGATGCCCTCCTAATCATATAATTATTCTGTATATATCTTGTATTTACTTATCTGTGAATGTATTGTATTCCCCCAGGAGAATGTAAATTCCTTGAAGGCTGGGACAGTCTTACTTTTGTAATTATATCACCAGTTCCTAACACATAGTAGGCAGTTATTATAAATGCTTATTGATTGATCCTGACTGCTAGCTTCTTCTTACTGCTTTACATAATGACCTGGGCTAGGTTGGGCAGTTTAGAATTTCACTGAGTAATATCTGATTGGAAAGATTAATGTAGGACTAGGAGTCACATTATAGCTAGGTTCCAATTTGTATGAGGAATAAATTCCCTGGAATGGTCACATTATTTGAATTCATTCCACATTCCATTGGGTTAGAACAGGTTGCCATGTTTTACATAATTATAACTTCAAATAGTGTCAATTCAAATACATGTGTTATTATTCCCATTAATCAAGACTTAGGTGTATTCCTTTTTGTTTTAACTTTAGGTGACTGACTTCTTAGAATAAAAGCCTCCGATAATTTGTCTACATGCCACATTTGTCTATCTGTCATTGTGCTGAGATATGAATTTAAAATTGCTTCATTGTGTAAAATGTCTTTGTAGAAAGCTCAATAATTACATACTATATTTTTTCTCTCACCTTTTTTAAAGAAGACACATTTATGGGATGCCTTAAAATTTACAAAACACTTTCCTCCCAACAATCCAGTGAGGTAGGTAGTGAAAGTATTATTGTACCTTTTTTTTACAGATGAGGACACTGAGGCTCAGAGAGATAGAGGCCCAGGGCCACACAGCTAGTAAGTGTCAGAGCCCGGATTTGAACTCAACCCTCTAATGTTCTATGGATTCATAGCAGGTTGTATTAATCATCACCATGGCAACATATTTGAACCTCTTTTATTTGCCACGATTGGCACAGTATTTTCTTCAGTCATTCTTGATCATCATAAGTCCATAAGCACAACATGCCTTCAATTGAAAACAAAACAAAACAAAACATTTTCTTGTTCATATCAGTTGGATTAGATGGTGTCTCAGGGCCTCAACTCATGATTCTATGAAGGAAAGGAACAAGTCAATGCTAAGGTTTTAAACATGGGAGACTAAGTGAGAGGTGATATCCCAAGCAGAAATAGAGAAAAAGAAGCGTGGATACAGGGGGGAAGAACACATTGGCTCTAAACTCAGAAGATCTGGGTTTAGATCCTGCCTGTGATGTCACCTGCCCCCAAGACCTTGAGCAAATGATAACATCCCTGGGCTTCAATTTCCTCATCTATGAAATGAGGGGTTTAAACTCTGAGGTCCCTTCCAACTCTAACTCTTAGATCCAGTAGACAATATGAGCACACTTTTGGACATGTTGAGTTTGAGGCACTAGAGAAATATCCAGGTCGAGAAATTCTTTAGGCAGTTACAGATGTGAGTTTGGAGCTCAGGAGAGAAGTCAGGGAGAGAGAAGACAGGAAAATGCCAAAGACAAACTTTGCCCATTTCATTGTTTTGTCTAGAGCTGGCCCTATGCCCATGAAAACAGAAGAGAATTCTTGCTCTTCTCTTCATCTCCTTCCTGCAAAAATCATAAGATCGCCCCATTCCCATCTTACCAGATAAGCAACTTTAGCTCAGCTCCATTAACAACTTTAAGTAAGCATTTGTTGGCTAACTGCTTCAACGCTGCTTTTTTGGGGAAAGGAAGTCCACGTTCCAACGGTTGACTTAGAAACAAACATTTTGAACACAATCTGTTTAAATCAGGAACCCTCTCCACCAGGGCTTATTTACATTTTATGTGTTGTGAACCCCTTTGGCAGTCGGGTGACACTTATGGACCCTTTCTGAGAACATTTTTAAATTTACAAAGGATATAAATGACAAAGTGCAATTATCAAAATATTTTTGAAAGTTCATGGACCCCAAATGCTGCCAAGGCACATTTCTAGTTTAATAATTAATTTAGATATAATATAAAAAGCAGAAGCTATATAAAGCTATAAAAGTAGAAGCCTCATCCATTATAGAATGGCATAAGATGGCTTACAGAAAATCAGTACCTCCTGTTCTCAAGTGCATCCTAGCTCCCTGAACATTTTCAGTCCTTTTTAAAAGGACGTGAAATAGACAAGGGGCGTAGTTTTACCAACTGGCAAGTCCACTAGACAGAAAAAGTGACAGTGTAACTTCCACCAAGGCATATCTTCACTTTTAAAACCCAAACCGATACGTTGTTCATGCAGTCCCCAGTATGTAATGCTTATGTTTCCATTTTAATTTGGAGTGAAGAATTTTGCTTTGGTCGAAAACAGCCTGGAGAAGGAGCATGTATGTGTATGTGCGTGTGCGTGTGTGTTTCTTGTTTTCCCTGATGGTCCGTGTTGGGAGTTACTCCAGCCAACATTCACACTCATCTCCTTTTGTGATTACAGTTTCCCAGGCAAGGCTTACAACAAACACAGCAGCAGCAACAGACAGCAGCCTTAGTCCGACAACTTCAGAAACAGCTTTCTAGTGAGTATTCCACTTGTCCTTGGACACCCAGCTCCTAGACTTCACATGGGGAGGAAGAGGTGCAGTATCATTCCCTCCTTTGGTTTGGACCTGGTCTATATTGTAGGAGTTACTGTCTCCTCACTCTTACATTCAGTGAAGAAGTATCTATCGGTGTTTTCATTTACAAAGTGAAAACTGAATCAGTGTCTGTTTTCATGAGAGGAAATGTTGCTTTCTATTATAACTTACACTCCGACACTGTTTAAAATTAATCTGGAGAATATGTTTTTTGGGGGCTTTATTCCTGTTGCTAAAATTGGTTTCTCAACCAAGTGAAAAAAAAAGGGGTGTCACAAAATTGCCTCTTTTTTTGGATTATAGAATACTTAGTGGGTGTCTTTTTTTTTCAGTTTGTCTGCTTTTATGAAAAATATAATATATGGAATTACCATGGGTAAAATTTAATGTGGATGTTTCAGGGATTTATTACTTAGCTTTGAAAAAGCTTATTTTAAAAATACACATTTTTAAGATTTTCTTGTTGTTTTCCACAGGGTTAAAATAAACTAAACTCTTCACCAAAAAAAAAAAAAATGCTAGGGTAAAGAAAAGATTGGCAAAATCCCCGGTCTCTTTGGTCACATATAGTTTTCCAAATTTTTTTTTTTACCACTTCTTTGAATTTACTTAAGTCTTTTTTTTTTCACTTATCTGCATTTATGATTTTCTTTTTACTTCTGTGCACCACTCATTTGCATGTACATAGCCAGCTGCAATTTTATAGGATTCATTTTTTTTTTCTCTTTAGGTAGTCAGCCACAACAAGGAGTAACTCCGTATGGGCATCCTTCACACTTCTGAAACGTGGCCGCAGAAATGACGCCTACTTTGACGTTTGCACTGAAGAATAGCAAATCCAATTCAATGCACTAGTTATTCTTAGAAATTCTCATTTTTTTCTATGGTTTCTTTTCATTTTGCCTCGATTTTTTTTTTTTTTTTTTTTGGTACTACGTTTAGAGTGAAGCTTTAACAGAAAGCAGCAAGAGGCTTAGTTTGGGTTTGTTGCATTCAGCTTTAAAATCATTACCTGAGTTTGCTTCATCTGGGCAAACTTCCAAGAAGAGTTTTGTGGGGAAGCATTTGAAATTGGTGCTTTTCTGAATCTTTGCATTTCAAAAAGAATGAAGAATGCTGGATCTTAACATTTTTATTTATTAGTGGCAAAGCATTTTGGGAGGAACTGCACTGGACCAAACTGTTCAAAGGAAAGCGGGACAGATTTTGAGATCCAGGCTGACTTGTTCATTAAGTGCTCACCTCTCAGATCCTTTAACAGTGAAAAGGACATTTCTTTGAGACCTATTAATTTTCAACGTTTGTAATTTCATAAGCACTTTATAAACTTTTTTTTGTTGTTGTTGTGATTCAATGACAGAATTTTTTTTCTCTCGCTTTCCTTGTGGTCACAAGGTGCTGAAACAGTTTCTTCTTATATTTAAACTTCCTAGGAGTAATGGCAAAGCTGCAGGCTGAGGTTCTTAAATGTCATTAGCAGTAGCTGTGTTCTAAAATTACTTTCAGTGGAAATCTCCTTGATTGGAGGCCTTTAGAAATGGACAAAGTGTCCATTTCTAAAGGCCTGGATTTACCACAATGGAATCACTAACATTTCATGCCTGAGCTGGCAAGATGACTTTCCAGGTTCTTCTCTCTAGAGCCCTTTTGCCGGCTTAACAAAAGTCCCTATCCCCATCCTAGGCAAGTTCTTCAGAGCTGTTCTGAGATTCTGTAGTGCTCAGGCATGGCACAGTTTCCCCAGAATCTGGCCCTAAGGCCCCCAAAGCTATCCCTCTCATAAGGTATACTTGGCTGTTTCCTTTGTATGGTAAGTATTTGCTCTTTTGAATTTAATTATTATCGTTAGTGTCAGTCTTGGTTGCGTATTGCCTATACTGTATTTATAAATTGGTGCAAAAAAAGCACAAGTAAATTATACATCAGATTTATTATAAAGAAATAATAACTATTTTAACTTTGTTCAAGTATGTGGTAATTTGCTCATATTAGAGTAAAAATTACAGTAAATGATTATCAGTTTGTGTAACTTAAGAGTATTCCATATGATATTTTTTTAGAATTAGATGCACAAATTTTGAATGTGAAAATTGCAGGGCATTTAAAAAACATATGGGGATATTTTCCCTGGTCTGTATTCATTCATTTTTTTTTCCTTTTGCCATATGATTTTACATGTACAATAGTCAAACATACTGTGAATAGATGTCTATACTGAGCAAACTGCATAGAGCGGCATTTTCCCATGAATGCCACTAACTCCACAGTAGGTGGTGATTTTGTTTTGAAATGCATTCTCTAGGTGATTTGTATTTTCTGTGGCAAGTGACTCATTGCACATTTTGACAAATGCAAACAACCTCCGATTCACATCTGCTTACGTTTGCCGTGGTAACATTCATGTGGACTGCTTTGTACACTGTGAAACACTCCATTCCAGCCCACAGATTCTCAATTTACTCTGGGGTGGGGAAAACTTTGCCAAAACATTAAGACCATTGTCATCCCTGAATTAAGTTTGTCTTTCTTTTCAGAATATCTGTCTGTAAAATTCAGCTTTTTTGTTTCGAAGATCATCATTAAGTGAAACTGTTCAATTAATATATACTTGTTAATCAAATAACATCACCACATTGACAAAATGTCTGGAATGTGACTCTCATGCCTAGTTAGTTATGTTTTTCTTTTTGTTACCTCTGCCCTTTGAAATCAACGGCATTAAAAATGCCATTCTTAGGTGTTTGGGGACATATATATTTTTTTTCTGGCCTAGCTCAAAGAGCAAATGACAATAATACTCTTTTTAGAATAATTGTTACAATCGCATAGCATTTGTAAGCACTTTATATTTTGCAGAAGTTATTTCAAGTAATTTATTAGTTATAACTCACATGAAAAGCCTGAGAGAGATCAGTATGTTGATGTCCATTGGAGATTTGAGGAAGCCAAATCACTGAAGGATTCCATCACTCTTAGACCATGTAGAATGTTTGTAATAAAAGTAGGGCCAGAAATCAGGTTTCCTAAATGTTGGTTCTAAGAGTTCTAAAGAAAAGAAGAAAAAAAAAAACCTAACAGAAGAAGCCCCACACTCCACCATTTTTTTCTCCATTAATCTCTATCCTAAGACTTTTTTTTTTAAATAAATGCAAGATTTTGCACTCAAATGGCTGGTGTTTAACCCCAAGTAAGAGCCTGTTAGCATGTCCATTGATGCATCCTCATATTTTCCACGGTGAGGCAGAGAGAGGAAATTTCCTTAGTTTGAAGAACAGAGTCCTCATCCCTCTTCAAAACAGAACCCAAATTCCAACAGGGTATAGAGCAGCTACTAAGTCTTTTGAACTTAAATGACCCTTCCTCCTTTATCAACATCAGTTCATTTCATGTGTATGTGTGTGTATAGTCACACACAAACACACACACACACACACACACACACAATTTGCCCTTAAGTTGGCAGAAAGTGGAGACAAGTCATAATAAATGGCATACCTTGACCCCTCACAGCCAATGTAATTATTAGATGGCCTCCTAAGCAGGACAATTAAAATGTTGTCATATTTAAAACATGTCTAACAGTGGATCCATGCCAGTGTTTGTGTTTTTAATGTGCTAATAGGTAGGGCATTTAAAACATAAACACTGACATGCAGCCACTGGTAGATGAGCCATCCAGTCTATGTATTATCCATGGGATTGGCATTTGATAGCTGGTGGTGGAGGGGGAAGGAAGGGGGTAATTATTCCATCCTTAATTTTAAATGCTCAGAGATGATCTGTACAAGCCCTGTAGAACCTTCCTCTTTATTGGCCCGATTTTCCTTCCTAAAAAGTATACAGACATTTACATTTATGATAGAGGATTTATGCTGGGATATCCTACCCTCTAGAGCTACAAAGAGGTTAATGGCCTAGAGCTTCCCCAAGATAGATTAACTGCTATTGAATTGATCACTTAACATAAATGCAATTCAGTGAATTAGAAAAAAAAGCATTTCATAAAAGTTGATTGAGTTATCTTTCAATTTGAAATGCAGTGAAATTTCATTTATAGCCTATAAATCCCCACTTAACATTTTCTCATAAAGAAATTCTCGATTTTTTGAAAGCCATATAGCTCATAATCCAGTGTGGCATTCTTTGGAGAGAAGAAGCAGCCTGGTAGAGTGGATAATAAGGTGAGGAGGACCTGGGTTCAGGTCCTGTCTCTTGACACTTACCTGTGGCTGTGTGATCACAGGCAAGTCATTTAACTTTGCAGTGCCATAGGCAACTTTGGCCAGAAGTTCAAAATGAGTTGGCTATTTTTATCAATGGAGATAGTTTCCATAGTAGATGCCGCTTACCAGTGAACTCACAGATCTGGACCAAATACACATTCTCTCTCTCTCTCTCTCTCTCTCCCTCTCTCTCTCTCTCTCATACACACACATATACACACACATACTTATACACACACACACACACACACACACACACACACTTCTAAAGCCTGAGTTCTCTATAAGAGATTTTCAAATTATTAAAACAAAGTTTCCTTGTATTTTCTGTAGAGAAATTGGTAGATCATAATCACCTCTTCCTTTACCTTATGAAGTTCAGTTACATTTTAAATTTGAAAGAGTCTGACAGCATTTATTATTAAAATCCAGCTATTGAGACTTTTCAAAAATTCCCTGTCAAAGAAAATTTACAATATGAAAGTATAATGTGTTATGAGCAAGACAGTTCAACATTTGTCTTCTTAGACTTTGACAAAATATTTGTACATCAGGATGGTAGTTTACCACTCATGACACAATGATCTTCTTTTTTGTATAATGTGGGTGCCATGCTTATAATGATACAAGATGGACACTAGGCAACTGTAGGGATGGGGGAGTAGGTCTATCCTTTGTTGAAGAATTCAGGTACATTCAAGATTCTTATTTTATGGGGAAATAGTTTTATTGGTCATTGTTTTTGTTGGCAAAATAAAAGTGCCTTAAGTTAAAGTTTGTTTTGAAATCCATTTGGTCATTGAAGAAATCAGTAGGAGTTCATCATGCAAGATTTTTTTCCAAGTTTTTTTTTTTTTTGCATGTCCATTGTAAATTTAATACTGTAAATGTATTTAAAATCATTTACATGCCTATGGCTGCCTTTGATTAAACTTCTTCCCAAAATAGACTGTGTCCAGATGTAGACTCTGTTAACAGCTGTTCAGATGGTTACTTACTCATGTCAGATCACTTGAACATAAGTTCTTGCATAATCACTCCCAAGCTGATTCTTTGCTGTGCATGTGTACGTCCCTGAATCTGATTTCTTGGGGTTCTGAAGGATGAGTGTGCCTTGTGGCTGAAGGAGTTCACTTCTGCTGGACCTGGCTTTGCTTGCTGCAGAAAACACTGAGTGGCCGGGCGTTTCCCATGTGACTTCTGGTTTGGGTATTCCCAGAGCCACACAGTGGAGCTGAACGGCTTCTCCCGTCAACACGCGTATGTTCCTCGGGGGCCGATTGGTGATCCGGGGCGGGTAGGCAATGATCATGACTGGAATGGTGATCACTGCCTCACCAATGCTGTTCTGAGCTTTACATGCATAGCTTCCTCTGTCGTGAGGAGCGGCCTTGTTGATGACTAATGTGCCATTTTCATGTAATGTGTATTTTCCGTTAATTTGAGGCCTGTCTATCACATGACCACTGGGCGCTGTCCAGACGATGTTTGGTTTAGGGCTTCCATCAGACATACAATGAAGGGATACAGACTCCCCAGTGATGCTCTGTATCATTCCCCGCACGTACGTAAGAATAACGGGTTTCTGGCCAATTTCCAATATAATTAGTTTTTCAATGTAGCCAACTTTATTTCTTGCAGCACAACGATATTTCCCTGCATCATCCCTTGTTGGCTTAATAATAATCAAGGAGCCATTTCTTCCTAGTTGATACCGGGAATTTGAGCTTCCACTAGAAAATCGCGTGCCATTAGGTAAAAGCCAAATGATTTCTGGGGGTGGATTTCCATCAACAGAACAATTTAGTGCCATGGGCTTCCCGGGCTGAGCCACAACTTTTTCATTAAATGGATTTCTGAACGTCGGTCGTCGTAGCATTTCTAACACCTTCAGCTGCACAACCAGGACACTCTCTCCACCATCATTACGAGCAATGCAGATAAAATCGGCAGTGTCAGTGAGCCTGACATTCCTTATTTCTAGGGTGCCATTCTTATGGACAGTGATCCTGCTTCCATAATATGGTGCTGTGAGGAAAATGTTATCTGGCATAATCCACATTATTTCTGGTGGAGGTGTTCCTTCTGCTTGGCAGTCCAGGTGTTTCTTGGAGTGCTGCACGGCTGTTGTTTTGATGACCGTTTTGTTGGAATATAGGCCATTGATCAGGGGTAGCTTGGAGACTACATCCAGTCTATACATTCTTGCGTCATCCCCACTTGGATTTCGTGCAACACACATGTACTCTCCAGAATCTAGCAACTTTACTTTGCCTATAGATAATGATCCATTATCATACAACAGGTATCTGTCAGTAGAAGATGAAATTATATCACTGGATGGGAGCAACCAGAATATTTGGGGCTTGGGCTCCCCAATGACCTCACAGACAAGCACTGCAGTTTCCCCAGCAGTCACTCTAATGTAAGTCTTGTGGCTTTGTCTTATCCGAGGGGCAGCTGTAACGACTGTCAGGTGGACCTTCATTTCATCTTTCCCTAGAGTGTTCTGTGCATAACAGGTATAATCTCCCTCCTCTGCAATTCCAACTTTGTTGAAATACAAAGTACCATTGTCAAAAAGGATGTATCTCCGAGTCCGTCTCCTGCTATCATCTGCTTGCATAACGTTGTTTATCATCGTTCCATCTGGCAGACTCCAAGATATCTCTGGCACAGGGGAGCCTGACGCTTTGCAGTCGACTTGGAAGTCCTTCCCATGTAGCACTTGCTTCTTGAATTGCTGCTTGTGGTCAATTTTGGCAGGCTTCATTCTCAGGCTAACTTTCATCAAAATCAGGTCATCCCCCATTTTATTTCTGGCCACACACAAATAATCACCTGCATCCTTTTCGGTGACAGCCCCAATAAGCAAGGACCCATTGGGATAAACATGGATCCGACTGCCCATCCTGGGGGGGGGGGAATATTAATTTTTAATATGCATATATAACATGAGAGAGGGAAGGAAGAAATAAAATTCATCACAAATAACCCTAAATTTGTGAATGTGTTTTCAGAAACTTTGACAGTTAAGTTGCTTTCATTTATAATCTATTTCAGTAAGTAGTGTGAGAGTCTTAACTGCAACAATGTTTATTTGTGGTTGCTACTGCGTAAAAAATCCAGGTCAAGTGCATGGAAACATTTTTAAAAATCAAAGGCACTTATTGACTAGTCACAGTCTCACATTTTACATGCATGAAGAAATTGTAATTTCTTATCTATGTTTAAGAATTTTATTTTCAGGGGAGCTAGGTGGCGAAGTCGATAGAGCGCTGGCCCTGGAGTCAGGAGGACTTGAGTTCAAATCCGGTCTCAGACCAGACACTTGATACTTACTAGCTGTGTGACCCTGGGCAAGTCACTTAATCCAAATTGCCTCATATTAAAAAAAAAAAAGAATTTTATTTTTCCCTCAGTAGGGTATTAATTCAGGGCGCTAGGTGGTGCAGTGGATAGAACACCAGCCCTGAAGTCAGGAGGACCTGAGTTCAAATCTGGCCTCAGACCAGACACTTGACACTTACTAGCTGTGTGACCCTGGGCAAGTCACTTAACCCCAATTGCCTAAAAATTTAAAAAAAAAATTTTTTTTTAAAAATGTTCACATTCAACATGCTAAGAATTTTAGAATAATAACTAACCCGAGACCATTTTTCTGAAACAGGTTTACCTGTTTTGCCACTAGATGGCAATGATGCACTGACAAAGTTGTTGAGATTATTTAAGATTATAGATTTAGATGTAGAAAAAGGACCTTGTTGTTCTGTTATCTCAGTCATGTCCGGCTCTGCGTGACCCCGTTTGGGGTTTTCTTGGCAAAGCTACTGGAGTGGTTTACCATTTCCTTCTCCAGCACTTTTTACAGATGAGGAAACTGAGGCAAACAGGGTGAAGTGACTTATCTAGGGTCACATAGCTAGTAAGTATGGGAGACCAGATTTGAACTCAGGAAGATGTCTTCCTGACTGCACCACCTAGCTGCCCACAGAAGGGACCTTAGAGGTTATTGATTTCAAACTTTTCAGTTTTTTACAGAAGAGCGAACTGAGGCACAGAGAAGGAAAATTACCTACCCAGGGTCACAAAGCTATCAAGTATCTATCTAGGAGGATTATGAACCCAGACTTTCTTTAATCCAAGTCTAGTGCCCTAAACACTACAAATCAGGATCTGTAACTAATGAATGAACAGATCATGGCCCTCCAGGTAACCAGGAAATGCCCTTTAGGCAGATAAGCTGAAAGGCACAATTTGAGTGAAAATGAGAATTGCCTTTTGGTAAGTAAGCAAAGCCATCTTATGCCAAATTCTTGTTTAGAGCAAAAATTATTCTAAAAGCTTCCAGAGTAGCATATCATTTTTTGAAAAAATAGACTTTTTTATTTTTACTTTATTTTATTTTATTTTATTTTTTTATTTATGTCTTGATTCAGTGATGTATTCTTTGTGAAGAAGCTGCTATTCCCCATTAGTCCTCTGGGAACAAATAGAATAAACTTAATCTCTTCTCCACATATTATCCCTTCCTTAAGATAACTTTGAGAGCTTTCCTGGCTTTCCAGAGTCTTATCTTCTCTAGGCTAAACCTTCAAGGTTCCTCTCATGACCCATAACACTTGCATTTGCCCATTTTCCTTTCAACAACCCATCTGAGTGTAACAGCAACCACTTTTAAGCATCAGCTGTAATATAGTAAATGCTTGGTTTAGCCCATGAAGCTAACAGGTTGTACAATGGGTTAAAAGCAAAACCCACCCTTAAGTCTCTTATAATCATTGCTAAATGAGTTTCTCTTGCAAAGTAGCTTTTGGATATTTGTGTTTTGCCAAACCTTGGCATTTTTTGTTTTGCCTAAATCTGTTTCTGATCAAGTTGCCGTTTAACCAGGCTATTGTAATGGCTAGCTGCCATTGGGCAAAGTTTCACCCCCTCACGTTAACTTTGTGGTGTCAACTGTGAATGGAGTGATTATCCTCAGCAAGAGTTCTTGCTGTTCCTAAGGTGGCTCTGAATAAAATATCTGCTTTCTAGTAATTAAGATAAAGAGTACAGCTTTTGCCTTTAATAAAGAGACTTAAACTTGGGTGGGGGGATATATTTGGTCAATGAACAAACTACTATATATAACGTAGAAATAACCCTTCTGAGTGACCCTAATTCATTTTAAAGCAAAACATTTCATCTGTGTACCATAGCAGTTATGAAATAAGTTTGTGTAGATGTATATAAATGGGTGGCTACGTGGCACCATTGTGCAGTGTCAGGCCTTGAGTCAGGAAGACTCAGTTTCCTCATCTGTAAAATAAATTGGAGAAGGAAATGGCAAACCATTCCAGTATATATAAGTACATACCATGTCAAGAAAGGGAGCATGGTGTAGGGGATAGAGAGCTGGCCTTGGTGCCAAGAGGACCTGGGTTCAAGTTCTTCCTCTTATACAAATTGGTTGTATGACCCGGGGCAAGTCATTCAAACTCTGTGTTTTAGGCAACCAAAGACAAGTTGCTGACCTGCAGTGGTAGAGAGCCTGGCTGGGAGCTTCCTATACCAATGAAATCACCAGCCCAACACCTAGCCTGGCAGATAGTAGATGCTTAATAAATGTTTGTTCACTGGCTGTTAATAGATTTGCCCTGTTCTTAATAACGTACTTGTGGGTGTGTGAAGAGACATTTTGGCAAAATAGAATGCCAGTCTCAGAATGAAGAAAACCTGGATTTAAGTCTCATTTTTGACACATAAGCTGTGTAATCCTGGACAAATCACTTAATCTTTCAGCACCCCAGACAACCATCTAAGACTATAAATTTGAGAACAAGGAAGGACCTACATTGGTAGTGTTTCCTCACCACAAGTTCCTTGCGTGGAGGAAATCGTACTCAGATGACCTCTCCCAAAAAAGATGTATGAAGTTTTTAGTATTACATATGATACAGTCTCTCATATGTATTCCAACTCTATGGAACAAGATGCCCCTCCCAGGTTAAGTTATCATCTCTAATCTCATCACCGTGTTGATTGAAGCCATCTCCCTCAGACTCTCCTCCCTCCGATTGCAGGACTGGAGAGTGGAATACCAAACTCCTCCCTTTGTCTTCCTTTACAGAGAGCAGAAACTGGACTTTGTGTCTCGCCCCACTCAGCATCTGTTACTCCGAAACTCGGTGGAACAAGGAAGCCCCACACAGGGTACCACCTGGTGTCATCCCCCCTTTCTTACCTCCTTTTGTGAGTCCTCCCCCCCATTAGATTGTGAACTCATTGAGGACTCGCACTGTCTTTTCATTAATTGTATCCCCAGAGTTTTAGCACAGCGCCTGACACACTTAATAAAATGTTTATTGGATTGGATATACATAATAAAAATAACACCTAGCATTTATGTATCTCTTTAAGGTGTGCAAGTACATATGTTATCTCACTGGATCCTCATAACAACTCTGTAAAGAGAGTGCTAATATTATCCTTGTTACGAGAAAACCAAGGCTGGGAGAGGTTAAGTGACTTGCCCAGAGTAACACTACTAAGTGTCTGAGACAGAATTTGAACTCAGGTCTTCCTGGGTTCCAGCTCTTACCCACTCTGCCACCTAACACACTCTCTCTCTCTCTCTCCCTCCAAATATATATATATATATATATATATGTATGTATGTGTGTATGTATCTGTAGATATGCATATGTATATGTGTATGTGTATATATGTATCTACCCACATATATACGTATGTGATTGATACATGAATATGTATAAATTATATAAATGTTATTTTATATATTGTTATAGAAACATATGTAAAATGGGAACTTGAATGTTTCAAGGGTACACGATTTTATAGATGACATGTCTTAGGATAGCAGTTGGAAGAAACCTCAGAGGACATCTAGTCCAAGCCATGAATGAAAAGATTCCTAAACCACCCAACAAATACCCAGCCAACATGTGCTGGGAGACCTCTCCCGAGGGGGACCCTACTACTACCTGAGACAGTCCATTCACTTTTTGAATAGGTCTCATTTTTAGGAACTTTGTTTTTATATCAAGAGGCAATATCATGAAGTGGGAAGAGTCTAAATTTGAAGTCAAGAGGGCTTGGATTTAAGTCTCTCCCCTGCTACTTTTCCTCCCTAGCCTCAGTCTTCTCACCTGGAATGAGGAGATGGACCAAGTGATCTCTATCTAGATTCTTTCCACCTCTAAACCTATGATCTGCCTCTCTGGGACTTTAAACTGTCACTCCTAATTGTGCCCATTGGAGCTGAGCAGAACAAGGCTAATCTATCTTCCACATGACAGTTCTTCAAATACTTGAAGACAAATCTTGTGTTTCCCCATAAGTCTTTAGCCTAAATATCCCCAGTTCCTTCACATGGCATGGTGCCCTTAGAAAAAGTGGCACCCACAACTGAATATAATACATCTAATGTAGTCTCACCTGGACAGCTACAATGGAGCTATTCCCTCCCTGGCCCTGGGCTCTTAGGCTTCATTAAAAACCACAGATTTTTTTTTCCCCCAATGTACTATTGTCTAACCATGCCTTAAATCTCAAACTTGGTTACCACTTTTTCTTTTTTTTTTTTTTTTTGGCTAGGCAATGGGGTTAAGTGACTTGCTCAGGGTAACACAGCTAATGAGTGTCATGTGTCTGAGACCGGATTTGAACTCAGGTCTTCCTGAATCCAGGGCCAATGCTCTATCCTCTGTGCCATCTAGCTGCCCCTTGAATCTCAAACTTGGGAAGTTGATTTTTGGAGCCTAAGTATAATATTTTTACACTTATCTTTATTTGATTTCCTTACTATATTCAGCTCAGCATTCTAGCTTGCTTAAATCTTTTTGATGGGGGAGTTCCTTCCATCAAATAGACCACAACATATCTATAACTTGGTAAATGGCCTTCAGTGGTTGTGATTCCAGTGGTCACTGTGGCTAACACCTTTTTGCCCTGCCACACTGATGCTGAGATTCTCTGACCTTGACCAATATTGACCTTGGGTAAAATACTGAACCCCAGGCTTGTGTTCAGAGTCATTCCAAGTGGACATGACTTACTAGAGCTCACACTCTGTTATTATAGCTTTCAAGTATCCAGGGGGACCTCCAAGGCACAGAAGACGACTTTGGTATACATAGTGTATAGAGAGATAGCAAATGCCTCAGTAACTCTAGCCTTCTGAATGCCTTCTACGGGAGCCATTCTCGAGGGCTGGGGCTATTTTGAAGGAGCAAATTGACTAGTGATTATAGTGACCTGATTTTTTGCTTTTGTGTCCATTGTTGAGTCCACATGGAGAAATCAGGAAATTGTTTGAACTTCTGACTTCTGTTGTGAAAGAGTTTTGTGAAAAAGAGAGGTGCACAACAATTTGTGAAAATCAAATGCTAGATTTAAGGTACTGATCTTCTTGGTGTATAGGAGCAAGGTAATACTTCTGTTTACTGAGGTCTGAGGGTATTCTGTAAACAGCATCTTGGAGGTACAAACTTTTGAACTTTGCCTGACATTAAAGCCATATATACCTGGTTTGGGAGTAACTTCAAAGAGAAAAGCATTAAGGGTAGAGTTACTAACGTCTATATTCAAGGCTAAGATTAGGCTAATCATCTTCTCCTTCTACACACATTCTGCTGTGCAGTATGACATCTGCCTCATTCTAAGACCACCAGGGGTATATATCTATATTGGGCAAAGTGGCTAAGAAAACACATTCTTTCAACTTTCCAGGCCCCTATGGTAACATCATACTGCTGCTACCAGGCCATCTTTGTGTTGTCATGTTCCAAAAGGCCCCCCACCCCCACCCTGTAGTCCAGCACTGCAGCTCCTGCCCTGGGAATTTAGGCTTCTGATTGGCTAGCACTCACTCTATCACTGACCAAGACCCACCACACTGCTGCTCCCATGCCATCTTCATGCCATTCTTTCCTCACCCCAACTCTGCTTTCTACCCCTAGCTGTTGTCAGTGGATAGAGTACTGTACCTAGAATCAAGAACACATGAGTTCAAATCTGGCCTCAGACACTTACCATCTGTGTCAATGGGCAAGTCAATTAATCACTATCTGTCTCAGTTTCCTCATTTGCAAAATGGGGATAATAATAGCACTGATGAGCTAATATTTCCAAAGTACCTTGCAAAAGGTGCTTCATAAATGCTATCATCATTCTTCTTGTTGTTGCTGTTACATTTGCATTCATTCGTACACTGAAAATTCATCACAGGATAGGTCTACCTAATAGACACCAAAGAAGATTTTCTTTTCTTCTCATTCACCTCCTGATGTTAGTTGCTATTTTTAGCTACTCTTGGTATGTGAGCACATGATAATTTCATACCAGTTTAGCTATATTAATTTTAATAAAGTTGACTCACTGCATCAGAAGCATGATACTTGGTATTTCTTTGGATGCTTTAAGAAAGGTAACCTGTAACAAATGACAATTCTAATTCCTTATTTGTAGACTGTATATGCTTTCTGGGCTGCTTACCATTTTGTTATCTTCTGGTAGCTATGGGGTAAATAGCTTAAAGAGAGTACAAAGGTTTTCTATTTACCTGTGCCATTGGTCCACAATTGCCTTGGATGGTAACCTCCAGATTATTCTGGGCTTGGGTTCTCCAGTAGCTGAACAGTTCAGTAACAATTTGTCTCCAAAGTTCACTTCAGTCAGTTTTTGGGAGGCAGTTTCTATCCTGGGAATGGTGTCTCTCTCTTCTACTATTAGGTTGACTACCCTTCTCTCTGAACCAGTGGAACTGGTAGCTATGCATTCATAGTTACCCCTGTCTGAAGAGGCTATATTTCGTATATAAAGAGTCCCATTTGGAAACAGGAACCACTTGGCATTTATAAATTGTAAAGGTTTCACTTCAGTGCCATCAAAAAGGACCCAGTAAACACTAGGCTGAGGGTTTCCTTTAGCTGTACAGGGCAGTTTCAAATTTTCACCCCATATCCCAGTGATAAATTGTCTCTTTTGTTCCAAGATAATTGGTGGTGCAGCAACAACTTGTATCTTAACCAGCCATGAATCCATCCCAGCTGGGTTATTGGCCATGCAGGTGTAAACTCCACGGTCATAAACAGTGAGTGTGTTGATAACCAAAGTCCCATCAGATTTCACCACTGCCTGGTTGTTTCCCTGAGATGATTCTGAAACCACTGTTTGATTTGCTAGAATCCAGGAAATTTTGGGGGTAGGCCTTCCTTCAGCTCTACATTTTACCTCCACGGAACTACCAGAATGGGCAGTAATTTCCTTTGTTCGGCCTTCCAGGATCCTAGGAGGATAGGCTATCACTGACAAAGTGACATGAAGTCTGTCGGAGCCATGCTGATTGGCAACCACACACAGGTACTGTCCACGGTCCTGAATCTTCACATTCTGAATGAAGAGAGTACCATTAGAGAATACTTCAAATCTGCTCTCTCGCATTTCTTCAGATAAAACAATTCCTGATAAAGATGAAAAGGAAAACACTTTGAGTTATGGGAGTCTGGTAGGCTGTGTTTTGAGTAAAGAAAGAAGAAATTTTTTAAGGGAAGTTCAGTTTCTCTTAAAGTGACAGAAGGAAAGGAAAGTGATATATCTATTAAACATATATAGCAAGAGGTAAAACTATACAGAAGACTAAAAGATATTTCACTACAAGGTCAGTGAAACTTGGGGATAGAAAGCCAAAAACTTACATGGTTGCATTTGGTCACAGAGTTAGAAGTGGGTAAGTGATATCTTTTAAAAAGTTACAGAACATTTAGTTGAGGAAAAATTCATGATGAAATGAAATTTATCCTTCTGTAATAAAAAATTAAAAATTCAGGTTTTTGCTGACTCAATTTATACACAATATAGATTGAAACTCTTCCTTTGACAGCATCAGGAGAGTTGGCAAGAAGCATCACCAAAGTCTTTTGGGACCTTCTAATAATACAAGCAAATTTTTTTCCCCTTAAAACAAATAAATAAGAAAAAGATCCATTTGTCAAATAAGGCAGATGCTGCCTCTTCTCACCAGGCTACCCATTCCGGGGAAGAAAAAAGGGAGTTTCCCTTTAGGCCAAGAAACTATTCTTAAATATCAGTCAAGATGCTCTGAATAAATGTATTTTAAATGAAGTTTAAGTTGCATAGTTATAGATTAGTCAAAGAATTGCATAGATTTTCCCATTACAATTGACCATAATTGTATTTATTTAAAATTTTCAGCACAATTAGTGCATCTCATTTTATCTTTGTTTCTACAGTTTTTCACAGGTATTTTTCTTTAATTTACTCATGTCAAATGTGTGTAAATATGTGTGCTTTTGAGCACATGAAGGTAGATATAAGAATAGGATATTGATGTTATCTACTCAAAGGAGATGGCTTTATATCCAGTTTTGCAAACCTTAAAACATTAATGACAGCTGCAAAAAAAGATGCAGATGTTTTCCTGTTTTATGGATAAATTACACTAAATAAAGCAAGACAATTTAAAACATCCTGGTGATTAGTTTGGATTAACTATGATTCTGTTACCAGGAGGAATTCTGGGAAGGATATTCAGAAATAAGTGTGGTGTAAATTGAAAATAAACACAGAACAAAGTACCTGATGAAACTCTGGTCCAGTGAATAGTGGGGGAAGGATTACCAGTGGCTTCACAGGGGATGAAGGCATCTGAGTTAGCCAGCACTGTAAAACTAGCTGCTTTGCCTCCAACTATCCTTGGCTTTTCAAATCTATTTCTAGACAGAGAGCCAAATATTAGGGGCTTGGCAGTAGCTGTTTCTTGAACTGCTGTCTGATCAAGGCTACTTTTGATTACATTCTCTTTCTGACCTCCCCACTTTGGAGTATGTTGAGTGGTGCTTTCTGAAAACTTTATTGTGGTCAACATATTTGCTACTGGTATTTTGCCTCTGTCAGCAATTTCTGGATATGATTGATGCCAAAATAGGTTTTCTGTCCAGAGAGGAGTAATCTTATCCTTGGAGCTTTGTGGTTCAACTGTTGTTAGTGGCAGTACTGGCATGGGATATAGATCAGCATAGATAAAGGGTGTTGTTCTAAAAGAGGACTCTGTTTGGGGATATGATCCAGAAGGTGCTTCAGTCTCAGACCCAGACATGTTCTGGTCAATATGGAGACTTGAGGTTTCCTGTGGCTTTGGCTCATTATGAGCCATCATCCCAAAGAGTGTGATTGGCACTTGGTCAGTTACTTCGCTTCTGGAGAAGGGAACGGAGGTAGCTTTGGGTACTTCTGTGCTATTGTTAATTCTCAGGAATGGTGTTTTGCTAGCAAGAGTACTTTGCAGTGTTTTACTGGGTAAGGTCATACTAGTATCAGTTGTCTTTGCTAGTGTCTGAGTACTTGTTTTAGCTACCTCTTCATTTATGTCTGTAGCATTAAGAGTTAGTGGATTAAGGCTATTTGAAGTTGGAATTCCTTTCGTGCCCTCTGAAGGAGATTGAGTCATAGTAAAGATGCTGGGATTAACTAAAGGTTGAACTATCATTACATTAGGAGGGGCTGTGGTTCCCGATGAAATAGTAACAGAATTCTCAAACTCAGTAATGCCCTGTGGGGTCATAATATTTTTCTGTGGTCGCCTTTGTCTTTGCCCTTTCCATCTTCCAGGTCTGGCTGTTTGACTTCTGATGACAGTGTCAGATGTGTAGATGGTAGGGAGAGAATGTATTGGCATAAAACCGTCTGTGCTAGGTAAGCTTTTGATACTTGCAGTATTAGGGTAAAAAAGCAAAGTTGGAAGATCTGTCATTGTCAGGACATTCTCAGGGGTGGCTCCTTCAGGAATGCTATCCTTATGAGTGAATTTCTGAGTTATAGCTGGGATTTGCATCTCCTTTGATGAGAGAGTTGTGAAATGGAAAGAACCTCCATCAGGGGGCATGACCAGGGACATTTTAGGAGGAACTGTGACTGTGCTTGTTTGTGGACTGGATTGATTGAGATTCTTAGGCATTTCTCTTTGGACATAATTGTTCACAAAAATTTGGTGCCAAGGAATTTTTCTTCTAAAAGCTCTTGTAAAAGTTCTCATACTAGGAGTAGAGGAGACAGAGATCACACTTGAATGAGTTGTGGGATTGGATGCACCTTTCTTAGTCACACTGGTACTGGGGATAGTGCTAAACAAAGCTGGATGACTAATGTTCATTGAAAAGCTTTTTTCTGTATCCAGGGGCATAGTGGCAAGGGTCTTCAATTCATTCTTTGGAGTTACATGTGTGCTTTCTGCACTGAAATATCTCATTACAGGGGTTGTTTTCTCTAATTCTATATAAGGCTTATCTACCTCTTCAAGTTCAGATGCTGGGTTTGGGTATGGAGTAGTAGGCACTGATACCACTTTTGCAGACTCCATTTTGGGGAGGGTGGTATATTCAGCACTTGGAAGAAGCAAATGAGAAGGAGCTGTAGTGGGCATCATTCCAGGTGTACATGTTGGGCACTTCATATCAAGTTCTGTTGGGAGCAGTGGCATCCTTTCTTCAGGTAGAACCTTGAATCTTGGTCTCAAAAAGGGGTATCTGTGTCCTCTGACGTTTGGGATTCTACCTGGGCTAATAATTCTCCTCCTGCCCCAAATTTTCCTCCGTCTCCCATAATGTCTCATTAGTGGGGTAGTGGTAGTTACATCACTGATGGCCCAAACTTGATTTTGCATCATCATTGTTGAGTCTGTGGGAAACTTAGAGATAAGAGTTTTTTGAGTGATATGGGAATAAAAATGATCATTATTTGGCTCATTCTCTGTTATTACGGTTAGGTGGTGATGAGAGATTTGATCAACAGAGTCTCTAAATACATGATCTTTTCCACGAGGGTTCCCAGATATATTGACATTGCTATCTCTACTAATATCATCTCCTAACATTGTGGGCATGCTTTTTGAGTGTTCATTTCTTTCCCATAAAGGCTTCTCATTTCTCAAGATTTTGATTGGAACAGACATCAGAGAAGAGATGGTAGGTAGCTGTTGAGTGGTGATGCCTTGCATATTACTTGATGTGCTTAGGGTAAAGTGTGTTGAAACAGATGTGGATAGATTTAAATTTGTATTTGACATGAGTTCTTCAGGCCTTTCAGGTTGTGAAGTCTGTGGACTGACTATTGGCAAGGCTTCTGTACCAGGAGTGATACTGGTTTCAGAGCTGCCTGGGGGTGTTATGGGATCTGTAGTCACTGGACTTGCTGATGTCTCCAGAGCTCTTGTTGTCAAAAGCATGAACTCTTCATCTGGGGGCAAGACGCCCGATGATTCTTCTCCATCTGCAGGGAGTTCTGACAGTACAGTGACTTGTGTAGGGGGTGTGGTTATGGCACTTCCTACTTTGTCTGGTGTGGCTATTTTTTTAGCTTTTTCCAAAAATGCTGCCCATTGTCTTGGGTCAAGCCTTCGAGCAGAAGGAGGAAATTGTCTCCTACGTTCCCTAAAACGTCTGTTTATTGGATCTCCATGGCGGCGATACATCAGCTCACTGTAATTCTGCCTTTTACTTGGATTTGAAATGTCCTGTTTTGTCATATCAGCCCCTAGAGGCACTGTGTTTTGTACCACTGATGGTTCCTTGAGGTTTGTGGTAGTGGCTTTAGGTTCCTCTTTCCCAGAGCCATCAGCTTCTCTATCTTGATATTCAAGATTGTTCCCTTTCATGTCTACTGATACTAGGAAAATCAAAAAATCCACACCATATGGATTAGCTGCTACACATCGAAAATAACCACTGTCTCCTTCAGTGACCTTCAATATTCTCAATGTGCCATCACTGAGAATTTGCTTGTTTCCTATGGAGTGGTGAAGTACAATGTTTCCAGGGAGAACCCAACTGACAGAGGCATCTGGGATCCCAGTGGACCGACATGGAAGGTCAAGTGTCTCTCCAGAAGAACTCACATGTGGAGCCCCATTTATGTGATGAGAACCCACGTTTGGATTCACCACTGTAACCCTATATGTGAGGATATCTGCATCATCATAATTGGTGCTGATGCAGTGGTAGAGGCCAGTGTCAAAGCCATCAGCTGTCTGCAGTTCTAGCTTTCCAGCTTTATCTATTAGGATTCTCCCATCCTCACTAATATAAGGGGCTCTCACTTTGCTCCCATCTGCAAGAACCCACTCTAGATGAGGACTGGGATCTCCTTGGGCTGGGCAATCCAGTTCCATGGTCCCACCCACTAAAACAGTACGCTCCAACTTAGTAGTATTATCTCTGGAAATCATAGCCCACTTGTGCTTGATTTGCCCTTCTTTTTCATGTGGTACAGTGACATGGGCATCCACCAGATACCGAATGTGCAGAGTGCTGAGGGTGGTCACAGTCCTATCTAGTTGTAGCGATATCTGGTCCTGCATCAGCCACGATGGATCAGCTCTTAGTTCTGCTTTTATATCAGTAAAAATGTCTTCATTCCTTGCAGTAATCTGTCTATATGTCTGAGTCAGTTGGGGTGTTTGGGTAAGGGAAAGTGCTCTTTCTAGCCTCAGTGGAGAATCACTATACATGGCTAGAATTCGCCACAGTGGCTGGATGTGGTGGTGATCTATGTTACATACAAGGAAGGTGGAAAATGACGTATTCAGTGTGACATAGCCACTCTCTTCAGCAAATGAAACAGGTAATGTCTTAGAAGGCTTCTGAATATTGCAAACCAAATTAGCTTCATTCCCAGACTGGTCTGTCAAATTCATAGTTATCAAACCAAGGGGTGCCACAAAGTCTTTGGACAGGAGAGATATGGAGTCGCCCTCTTCTGGTAGAGTGAGGTTCTTCATCTTCAAGGCAGAGTCAATGGTTGGCTTAACACAAGTCAAGGATTCAGCTGAGATCTCAGCTAAGCGTTTGCCTTTGGATTTCTTAGGATTTGTGCATAGTGGACATTGCAGAAGAGTGGAGGAACTTCTGTCTCTTTTGCATTTTACTGTATCTGGGGGGGAGGAGAGAAATATCATAATTTAGCCATTTTCTAATAATAACTTCTATATCTATGAATTGCTCTAAATAATTTCTAGAACCATATTATAGATAATAATATATCTACTTTATACAAAAACTTCTATATCTACATCAATTCAACTCAACAAGCATATATAAAGTCCCAACTTTGTGCCTCGCACTGTGTCACAACATACTACAAGATAATTATATTTTGAAGGTAAATCTATTGTTTACCTTCGTGTGAATTTAAATTAATGTGTTATGTCTAAGGATTTACTGGGGTACTAAGGATTTTATTCCGGAAGAGACCTTAAAAGTAATTTGATTTATCACTTTCATTTTTGAAATGAGGAAATTGAGCCTCAGAGATGTAAAATTTCCCCAGTTCATGCAGGTAGTTAATAGTAGAGACATGCAGTATGGTACTTTAGAAAGAGTATTGGGTTTAGAATAAGGGGTCTGGGGTTCAAATCTCAGCTCTACCACTTATTACTGTGTGACCTTGGACAAGTCACATAACCTCTGAATTTCATCTATAAAATTAAGGGATTGGACTAAATGACCTCTAAGTCCCTTCTAATTCTGAGTTAATGAACATTATGATTCCCTAGGTTTTCTGAATGCAAAAATCCAGTGGTGATGTTTTTTCCCCACTATGCTGTATTGCCCAATGTCACTCATTGGGACCTTTGGGTAGCAAGATTTGACCATTCATAGAATTATAAACTTTCATAATTGGAAGAGACCTCAGTGGTCATTTGGCTCAACCTGTATCTATAAAAGAATCCCCTCAGTCTGAAAATCAATCAACAAGCATTTATTATGTACATACTATGTGCCAGGTACTGTGGTATGGGCTGGGGGTACAAAGAAAAAAACAAAGTAGTCCCTGCCCTCAAGGGACTTACATTTTAGTGAAGGTGGGCAACATGTACACATTTAAAGAGATACAAAATACATTCTCCACAAATTCAATATAATATCAGAAATGGGAGGCAATAGTAGATGGGGTTAGGGGACATGCAGAAGTTGAGGAAAAACCTCACAAAGGTAATTGTAGCTTGAGGTTAAGCCTTGAAAGAAGTGAAGGATTCTAACAAGTGGAGGTAAGGAGCAAGAGCATTCCAGGCACCGACACCAGCCTGTCCTCAGACACAAAGCCAGCACTCCAAATGTCTCTCTAATATTCTCAACTTCTGTCTGAAGACCTTCACTGAGGAAGAATTGACAGCATCCTGAGGTAGCCCAATCCACTTGAAGATAAATATTTATGAGGAAGTTTTTTCCTAGCATCAAATGCCAGAAATTTGCCCTTTTTGTAGCTTCCACGTGTTTCTCCAAGTTCTGTCTTTTCATTTTGCTCAGCCTCAGTTTCCTCATCTATAAAATGGGGACCATAATAGCACCTCCCTGTTGTGGGTTGTGGTGAGGATCAAATGAGATAATACGTGTAAGGTGATAAGATATGTAAATGCTGGCTGTTATTATTATTGCTGTGTAGATATGTTACAGTGTGGGGGCACCTAGGTGACACAGGGGATAGAGCTCTGGCTTTGGAGTCAGGAGGACCTGGGTTCAAATCTGACCTCAGACGCTTGACACTTAGTAGCTGTGTGACCCTGCGCAAGTCACTTAACCTGATTGCCTAAGCAAAAAAAAAAAAAAAGATAAGTCACAATGTGTCTAAGTGGCTAGAGAGCTAGCCTTAGAGTAATCTGACCTGTGATTTCATTGCTAGACATGTCACCCCCTCATCCAATGCAGCTGTCCTAGGACTTTGTCTCAGGGAGTGGCCCTGGACATGGGGAGGGGAAGGGCTTTATATTCATCTCCAAACTAAGCTCAGGAATTAATGAGGGAAAGGCAACAGAAGCTTCATTTGCATAGAACAAGCCAGCAAAGATTTGAAATGTAAGTAATTCCCTTTGCTATCAACTCAGGCAGACAAGAAAAGCTCAAAGAACACTAATTACACTCATAGTATAGGACATGTTTCCTCCTATTTGACCCATACAACATCTCTATGAGGAAAGTAGTGAAGTTGTTATAATGTGTACTCAGTTGGAATTTGCACCACTGAGGATGGTGCAGTAGATAGAATCTTACCCTGGAGTCAGGAAGACCTGAGTTCAAATCCAACCTCAGACACTTACTACCTGTGTGAGCCAGGGCAAGTCACTTACTTAACCTCTCTCTGCCTCAATTTCCTGAAAATAGGAGCACGTACCTCCCAGGGTCATGATAAGATGAGTTAATATTTGCAAAGTGCTTAAAGCACCTTGTAAATGCCAGCTGTTATTATCCTGGTTTAAAGGACTTTTTTTTAATAGGAAGGGAAAGTTTCTTTTCTGAACTTTTTTTTTCCTTGCCAGTAAAAGAAGAATGGGTAGCTAGGTGGCACTATAGGAGATAAAGCATCAGCCCTGGAGTTAGGAGGACTTGAATTCAAATCCAGCTTCAGACACTTACTAGCTATGTGACCCTGGGCAAGTCACTTCTCCCTGTTTGACTCAATCTCCTCATCTGTAAAATGAGTTGGAGAAGGAAATGGCAAACCATTCTAGTATCTTTGCTAAGAAAACCCCAAATGGGATCAAGAGTTGGAGACCACTGAAATGACTTAACAACAAAAATAAGAATAATAATCCTTATACTTCAGGATATGCCCTCAGAAGTGGGCATTCACTACAAATCGGGGCTTGATTTATTGCTCTACTCATTGTCTAGCCTTGAGAAAGTGATGGAGAAAACTGTAATAATGCAAATTACACTTTTAAAAGTTGTACGTACATCCCCTCCCAGGAGAGCTGGTTGTTAAACATTTATCAGCACACCATTGCTTATATTTCCTATTTCACAAGGTTTTGGGGGAGGAAAAGGGAAAGGAAAGTGAGTTTTCATGCAGTAGCCTCAGTGTGCTCCAGGTCCTGCCTCCCCTGGGGACTTCCTGACTTGAGTGCAACAGTACACATTGCACCTACAAAGAACTGTAATTCTGACTGCCTTGTCATCTGGGTACCATTCATGATATGAACTTGAAAATTTTGTGTTTGTCTAAGGTTATAAAAGCCTGTGTGGTTTGGAACCTGAGCCGTCTAGCATAGCATGCTGGGTGAATAATAAAAGCAGGATTAGAGAAATACAGTAAGTTATATTATTCCCAATACAATAGTGATTTCAGTAGGCTGATTTAGAAAATAGGAAACATCTGTCTACACATGAAGATGGAGGTAATAAAAATTAGGGAGAAAGTAATAAGAAATAAAAGAAGTAATGAAATAAAAAGCATATGAGAACGGAATGGGATCCTGTTGACATAAATGGCTTTTTAACAGGTGGTAAAATTGAAGCATGACAGGTAGGGTTTGCCCTGGGCTGGCACAGAGTAGACAACCTCTGTGGGATGGACAGCATGTGCAGGAATAGGTGCATACGAGTTATTACCAGAGTAAATGCAGCTGGGGAAACTGGAAAGCCTATGACTGCAACCAACATTTCTATGCAGAAAATTCCCCAACCTCCACCTTCAGCTCTGGTCTCTAGGCTAAACTCTAGAGTCACCAACCACCTAAAACATATATTCACGTGGCTGTCCCACCAGTACCTCAAACCCGATATTTCCAAAACCAAGTTCATTATCTTTCCTCCTAATTCAGCTCCTCCCAACTTCATTATTTCTGTCTGTGTCCCCTAGCCCTCCCCCTACATCCCAGGTTTTTATGCTCAGAATTATCTTTTCATTCTTCCCTCTCCTTCACCTCACAGAGCCAAACAAGTATGGAGTACTATCAGTTCGATCAATCAATAAACATTCATTAAGCTCTTACTATGTGCCAGGCACTATATGAAGTGCTGCAGATACAAAAAGAAGCAAAAGACGGTCTCTGCCCTCAAGAAGCTTACAATCTAATGGAGAAGACAACATGCATACAAATCTATACAAAGCAAGTTACATATAGGATAAATAGGAAATAATTAAGAGAGGGGTGGCACCAGAATTAAGAGGGATTGGAAAAGGCTTACTGCAGTAGACAGGATTTTAGTTGAGACCTAAAGGAAGCTAAGGAAGCCAGGAGGCAGAGATAAGGAGGGACAGTGACAGCAGGAGAAAATGCTGGCAGTCAAGAGATGGAGTGTCTTGTTCATGGAATAGCCAGGTGACTAGTGTCAAAGAGCATGGTGAAAGGAAATTGGAAAGGTAGGAAGGGGCTAGGTCATGAAGGGCTTCGAATGCCAAATAAAGCATTTTGTACTGCTCCTGGTGGCAATAAGGAGCCACTAAAGTTTGTTGAACAGGGAGGTGACATGATCAGACTTATATTTTAGAAAAATAATTTTAGCAGCTGAATGGAGAATGGATTGGAGTGGGGCCACCTCTGGAATGCTTCCTTTCCTATTTATTACCTCTAGCCTCCTAACAAGTCTTTCAGACCCAGAAGAGAAGGTTCCCTTTGAAGGTTCTGTTGACTTTTGAAGGAAAGCAGAGGATGATAGGAGAACAAGGCAAGGTGTAGGAGCAGCAAATATTGATTATGAGGTGAGAATGTGCTTTAAACAAACTTGACTTCATTTTTCCTAGGGTCAACCTAATGTTAGAATGTTAAATCAAAAATATGTAAGATGATTATTGATTGAAAGGTTTTTTGTAAAAAAATACAAAAAGGAATGTGGTACAGCGATGCTCACAGGGTCATAGAGAGAGAGAAGCAACATGAAGTAATGGTAAGAGAGATGGTTTCAAAGCCTGCATTCTGGTCTGGACTCAGACACATAATGACAATATGAACCAGGGAATATCAATTAACCACTCAGTTTTCTGAGGCAGAAGTTATCAAATTCATACTGGCCCAGAGGCCTGAACTAAATTAAAATGTAATTGGGAAATATTTAAAGAAGCAAATAAAAATACAGTAGGATGTAGACAGCTTTAGCATGTGGTTTTCTGTGTCAGTATTTAGCTACAGGGATATTTGTGTGTGGGTGAGTGGTTTCTGTTTCTATTTGAGTTTGACATGAGCTCTAGGCAGCTTCATGAGACAGGATTCTTAACCTTTTTTTATGTCACAGACCCCTTTGGCAGTCTGGTGAAGCCTATGGACCCCTTCTCAGACTATTTTTAAATGCATAAAACAAAATACATAGAACTACAAAGAAAACCAACTAGATTGAAATAGCTATCCAAAACTTTTTCTAAAATCAGATTCAAAGATGCCAGGTTAAGAAATCCAGCTAAGACTATGAACTACAGAGAAGGTGCCAACCTATGTTGGGAGAGGAAGTTCCCTCATCCAGCAGCTCCCTATACCAACAAAATCACTGGGCTAGGCTTTATCTCATAAGAAATATTCCATAATTGAATCGATAAACTTGATTTTCCTTCCAGCTATAAACTTTTGTTCTTTTTCTATGTCTCTCTGGCTTTCTCTCTCTCCCCTCTTTCTAATAAAACACCTCAGAGTAACTTGCCTCTAATTGCTGAAAATGAAGAAACAAAAGAGAATATTGATTCTCCTACCTGGATTCTGCTGTATCCAGTCTGGAAGCCAATTTAGCTCACAGTCACATATCCAAGGGTTTCCATACAAGTAAATGCTCTCCAGTTCAGTCATATACAGAATCATCTCCTGTGGGATGGAGGTCAGGAAGTTGTCTGACAAATAGATGTACCTTATGAATGAGATTTTAAATATCTGGAAATAGCTCAAAGAGACAAAGGTATTGGGATGGAGTTTGGTGAGCAGATTTCCTTCCAGGTGCACAAGCCGAAGGGAGGTGAGTCCATAAAAGGTCTCTGGGTTTATAAACTCCAGGTGGTTGTGGTCCAGGTGGAGCCGAGTCAAGCTCCTAAGGCCATGGAAGGTATCTTTGTGAAGTCTTCTGACTTTATTGTAGCTCATTTTTAAAACCTCATGAATTAAGAAGAAAAAGAAAAAAAAAACAAATTAGCTCAGCAAGCCATTGTTTCCATGAGGGAGAAAAGCATTAGCATTTGATTGCCTTTTGACTTTGATGGATGACTTTGATGACTTTGGTGGATCCAGAGATGGAAGGAATAGCATGTTTTCAAAATGTTTATCTCTCATCTACACATATAATACCCTGACCTTCAATTATTACTCAGAATGGAACATTCTCTAAGGATAAAAGTGGAAACGAGCTCCAAAATGGCACCTAGTTTTACCATATTGAATGAATGAATGAATGCTTTCTATGATCCAGGCACTGTACTAAGCGATGGATCATAGAAAGCTTACATGTAAGCTTTCAAGCAACTTATTTTGTAATGAAGGAAGGAAAGATGTAAAGGGACTTGGGAGTGAAGAATAACTGTGTGGCCACATGGTTTGGAAATGGACAAAAAGTGACATGGAATTAGAGTTCTGGGCAAAGCAAGGTGAAAGTATTATCAGAGCCCAGAGTCCCAGAGGCAGATCCCAGGATCCAGTGGGAGAAGGTTGAGGAAGACGGCCTGAGTGCAGGTGGTAGGGTTTGGAAATGATCAGAAAATTATTTATTTAATTTCTTTATTTGGTTGCTTCTTTGTTTAGCTCATACCTGTGATATCATTGATGTAAGGAATTCTCAGTGAGGAGCATCCCTTTAAGAATAGAGATCAACTGACCTTCAACTTATAATCTTAGAGAGTTTCTTGGAGAAATTTTCTGATAGACTAAATGACTTGTCCAAGGTCACACAATCAATGGGCATCAGAGAGGCTGGATCTGAACCCAAGTCATCCTGACCCTGAAGTCAACCATACTACTACTCCACACTGCCTTTTACCATATTGATTTGGCCTGAGAATTAGTCAATGATAATATCACAGCCTGTCTTAATGGTCAGAAAGGCAGAATGGTATAGTATAGTATAGAGTGATATAGTAGAGCTAGACTTAGGAAATCTTGGGTTCAAATCCTGCCTCTGACATTTACTAACTGGGTGATCCTAGGCAAGTTGCATCACCTCCACAAGCCTCAGTTTCCTCACTTGTAAGTGGGGATAATAATATCTTCAGTTCCTATATCACAGGGTTGTGCTGAGGCTCAAATGAACTAATACGGAGTGTCCCAAAAGTCTTAGTGCAAGTTAGTCTCACTAGCTTAAAATTGCACTAAGACGTCTGGGACACCCCATATAAATAAAGTGCTCTGGAAATTTTAAAACCTTAGAAATCACTTCTTATCACTATTATTCAAATGACCTTGGACAATTCACTAGGACTCCGAAATTCAGTTGCTTCATCATATATAAAATGAGGAGGTTGATCTAGATGACCACTAACGTTCCTTTCAGATCTCAATATCCCAAGGTATGTCTAGTAAATGGCAATGAAGAAAAGCCATACTGATTAATCACAGCAACGTCTGGCTGGAGGCACTTCCGTTTTTTTGCTCAGTTGTTAGGTTGTGTTCAACTCTGTGACTCTGTGGGCTGTATTGTCCATGGGGTTTTCTTGGCAAAGACACTGCAGCAGTTTGCCATTTCCTTCTCCACTGGGTGAAGGCAAACAGAGGTTAAGTGACTTGCCCAGGGTCACATAGTAGCTGGAAGTACTAGTTGTATTTTAATGTCCCTGAATTCCACTAGGATTCCAAGTGAATGGTACTCAAAATAGCCTCTAGATTAAGTTTTAAATGCTTGTCAGTGTTCAGGAATAAAAATACAGTGTAGTTTCATTAGCATAGGCTACAAGAAATGTCACTTCGTGTTATGGATTACAATTTCCAAATACAACTGGAAAAGTCAGTATATTGCTTTCTCAGATATGCAACATATCTCTTCCTCCAATCAGAAGCAACCCCTTTGATGTCTTCCACAATCTCTAGAATATGAGGAAGGATAACTTTGTGTCCTTTTTTTCTTTATTACCTACACAGCATTTAAATTTGTAAATGTCCTGTCTGCGATGGCCCAAATAATGACGATGATGATAACAATAATAGTAGCTAGCATTTGCATAATGCTTTAAGATTTGCAAAGCACTTCACAAATATTACCTTGTTTTATTCTCACAACAATCTTGGAAAGTGTGCCATTATTATTCTCATTTTACAGATGAGAAAACTAAGGCAGACAAAGGTTAAGTGACTTGGCCAGGGTCACACAGTTTGCCTTTTTTCTTCCTTACCTGTAAGGCATGTAAGTCTGTAAATGTCTTGTCTGGGATGTCACGAATCTCATTACTGTGCAGCATCAGCAACTCCAGCTTGTGCAGGCCAATAAAGTCTGTTTCAGTTAGTTTAATCAAGCTGTTGTAACTATTAAAAAAAAAAAAAAAGATAGATTTCCAGTCCTGTATATAGTCCATCAGAGAAAACTCAAAAAGGAAAATGAAAAAACATAAATTTTTGCAAACTCATGTGAAATTTTGCTCTGGATCCAACAGGACGGATAATCATTCAAAATTCATAAATATAATTTGCATCAAAAGTCACACTGGAGGCTTTCCACAAGGTCAGATGGAGAGAGGAAAGTTTTACCTCTTTTAGCTTTGCCTACCAAACAGAGGTGAGTCTTCTATGTGTAATATTTGCCAAATTATTCATAAAAATATTTTTTTTCTTTGGAATGGCAATTAGGGTTCTGAATTTTCAAGATCATTTTGATGAATGGTTTTGAACAATTCATTAGCCATTAAATGTAGACAATATGTTCAGAAAGGGGGACAATATCACAAAACTCTAGATGATCTTTCATTTAAGTTTCAATGATAGAGCTTTTTCCTTCTGAAAGATAGTTTAACAATGAATGTATTATGATATTGTCTACAGTCTGTTATGAAGATCCTAACCCGTACTTTTTAATATGTGTATACATAGAGAGACACACACACATATGCTTCATATAGACACATACAGATACAGTGTTCAGTTAAAACTATTCCATATTGACCTATTTAAAAAAGTTCTCTATGCCCTCCCAAAGGGAAATGGATAAAGGAACAGACATTGACACAGGTGATTACCATTTCTTTAACAATGTTTCACCAACATAAATCAATCACCACAACAAACAACAAAGAAGCCAAAGGAACTCAGAAATCACCTCATCCAGCAAACACATCTCATTGCCAATTAGAGAGATGTGGCAGCTAAGTATGAAACTCATTTGGAATATTAATCTGCTTGAATTTTCAGGAGGAAATTTACTTCCTTGGACAAGTGATTCAAACTCCCCCACCCCACCCCAGGCCTCCCTGTAAAATGAGGGGGTTGGACTAGATCATCCTGAAGTCTCTTCCAGCACTATTTCTATGATTCTAAGACCCTATAATCATAAGCAGTATTACATCATCCAACAGCCAGGATTTCTGATTTCAAGACTAGTTGTATTCTCCATTATACCAATGCTGCTCTGTATCTCCTTTAATACCTAAGGACTTGACCTGGCCACCTCTCCTCCTTCTCCCCCTCCCCCAATCAGGAATGAGGAAAAAAGGCACAAAAATAGTTAAAATGAAAACAAAAACTCTTAAAAATTACTGAAATCACCTTTTGGTTTTTTGGCTTCTGGTTAGTTCTTGCACTGTCCATTTCCAAAGAGATAGGAAACAGTACTAAGTTTTTATTTCCCCTTCCTTAAAAGCTGAGATTCCCTTTATTAGTGGCCTCCTGATGAAGCAGGCATAATTCTTCCCTGCTCAAGGAAGTTCAAGCCAAAGACTTACAAAGAGAAGAAGGGAGTGTTTCACCTACCCCAGGTTGATGCGTTCTGCATTGGCAGGGATGGTATCTGGGATGGTGGTGAGATACCGGAACGTGCAGTGTACCTCTGTAGGGACATAACAGGCACAGCGGCGGGGGCAGGCACTGCCGTAGGGAAGGGTGGCCAGGCAGACACTGACCAGAGAGGCCAGCAAGGGAGGGAGTTCTTTGCCTTTTACTTTCATCCTGAAACAACATCTCTGTCAGCAAAGACAAGTACAGATAGCCAGACCCCAGCATCTTCCCTTCTCCCCCCACCCTCCCGGAAGATAAGCACAACTGGTCAGTCTTACCCACAACATTCATGGGACAGACTTTTTGTCAGGGAGTCTGTACTGTCTGCCCCCCTCAAATAGAGTTCTGTCATCCAGAGGAATATTTATCATCAAGAAAATTCCTTCACAGCTTCTCATTTTCTTAATGAAAAGCAACACAGGGACATGTTATTTAGGAGTTGTTAAAAAGTGAAACTGGAGAACTTAATGAGGATCCAGTTACCACTGAATCTTACTGTATGTTATTGGGAGTGTTTGTAAATTGTCTTCCCCTGGGCCCCGGCCAGGCAGAACACGTCGGCTGCTTTATTGCCAAATAATGACTATAAGCCATGGTAAGGGATTGGATAGGACTGAAGCAGCCTTCAGTGTTGGGCTGCAGAAGGAAATTCAGATACTTTGTGAGTATCTGAATCCTGCCTTGGATCCATGGAGAATGTCCCAGGCAAGATTTTTCTCTCTCTGTTACCACCTCTTTGTCTTCTTCCTCCTTCTCCCTCCTCTTCCTCTAAACGCTGTTGTTGCTCTGCGGAGCATCACCAGGAGTAAAAGGCACAGAATTCCACTTTTTGTTGCCCAAATGTTGGGTCAGCCTCAGTAGCCAAACCTAATTATACCTACCTCCCCACCACCACCACCACCCCAGAGCCTAAGGGCTGCCCTGAAAACTTCACGCTGCTAATGCGAGAGAATTGATTCTTATAAGATGTTTAAGAACCTTCAATGAATTGTTTCCTTCAATACCTGGCTGTGTGTGTGTGTGCCTTTAGTTATATAACTTAGTTGAAAATAACACTGATGTCAAAGTGCTTATGGGATTTGCTATAAACTTTGTGTAGCTAGGAAGCTAATCAGGTTTAGGAAACAGAGATGTAAGAGAGCCCTGTTCCAATCCAATTTAATGTGAGTACATAAGTGCTTTCGATAATTGATTGCTAAACATTTCATAACCACTTTATGTTTGGAAATAGCCTTTTCCCCCATGTATACTTAGGTTAGCAAAGGCATAGTCAGCTTGGAATGAGCTCCTGGGTTGGAGATTAGAAGGCTGCAAAGGCATTAGACCCCCAGATCTGGCACAAAATGGGAATGACTTGGAAGAATATCAAAGAAGAAAGGTTAAAAGGGGGAGGGAGGGAAAGGAATTTTGCAAAAGCTGCACAACATATGCAACAAGAGAGAGGAGCTGATAATACCTGAGAATCGTTTTGTTGTATGGCAGCTTAGTCTTTCCCAGTCATTGACTCTTCCTGAGAGATAGGCAGAAATTGACTAGGAGGAGGAAAATTCTCTGAACCAAAGGTGCAGGATGCTTGAAGAGGTCCTTTTGCTTAGCAGACAATTAATACTCCAGTCAGAAAGAGAGAGGCGCAGCCTCGGGGTGATGCATGTGCCCCGAATAAATGCAGGGGAAGTGATGTTTTAGCTGAAGAAATATTTAAAAGAAAGTATAGTTCTTTTTGCTTTATTCTTTCTCCCTGGACAAAGTTCTGTTTTGTTTTGTTTTTCAATAGTGCACTCCAAGTTTTCCTCGTATTTCCATTTTAATGAAACTATCGATGTCTCTCCTCCCTCCCCGCCCGGGTCCCAGGAGCTTCACTTCAAATTCTAATTCCTGAAAACTCTCTCACAGGTTCCAAAAATGTGAGTCTCCACCTATTGTTCCCCTTTCTTGTGAAAGTTTCTTGAGTCTGACTTCAGTCACTGAAACAGAGGGACTTTCCCTGCGTGCTTTCGGTCTCTCTTGACTTTCTCCCCAGGGTGTCCTCCCATCACCCCGTTCCCTCTCCCTCCCCCCTCTCTCCCTCCCTCTCTTCCTCTTGTCCCCTCTCCTTCTC